CCCTGTGCAGTATATCATATAACATCATGTTGCATACCTTAAATATACACAATAAAATTGAATAATTTAAAAACCTAATAATTTCGTGGTTTTGTGTGTGTGTGTGTGTGTGTGTGTGTGTGTGTGTGTGGTAGCAGAACAGAAGAAAATTAAATACACTGAAAAGTTCTTTGCCAGATAATGAGTTCTTTGCACATATTGATTGATTGATTGACTCAGTTGTGTCCTTCCCACCCTGCCACCATTGGCGTGGCCTCCTGCCCAAGCCTGGTGTTACCTGAGGCCTGGAGCAGTGGGCTTCAGCTTTTGGCATCCAGTAATCCTTTTGGGAGTCAGGGGGGATGATGCACTTTTACAGAATGCAGATCCCTATGGCAGGGCTGGCCTTCTGTTTCGTTTGGGGAGATAGTGTGGTGGCCATTTAGTGGCTTTGCGCTCTGAGGCACAGCATGAAGTCACCTTTGTGACACATTGGCAGCTGTCCTTTGGTTTTAGTTTCCAGTATAGGATTTAGCTTTGTTTCCAAAATTCTACCCCAGGTCTGTTCACTGGATTTCTACCCTGTTCCTTACACTCTTTGTTTTAGAATTGTGCCTTGTTCTCCACTTTCTAGAACTGGACCTAGCTTCCCATCTGCCACACTGTCTTCCAGGGATCAGGTTCTGCTGCCTGTTCGCAGGCTTCTCTGAACTGTTAGGTGTCCCATCCTTTGACTCCCTTGGTTGCCCTGCCAGCTCTGGTTGTAGTTGAGAACACCAGAATACCTCCTATCCCAACTCAGGGAAGGGGCAAAAGACTTTAAAATCCACCAGTTCCCTGTCGTCCTCCCTTTTGTGGTCTCCCGAGGACATTGGACCTCTCTGTGTTCCTTTTCCACCTGGAACTTCTTGCAGCTTTCATTCTTTTTAATTTTTTAAAATATTTTTTAAGATTTATTTATTTGAAAGAGAGGTAGAGATAGGTCTTCCATCCTCTGGTTCACTCCCCAGATGGCCACCAACAGCCAGAGGAGCTTCTTCCGGGTCTCCCACGTGGATGCAGGGGCCCAGGGACTTGGGCCATCTTCTCCTGCTCTCCCAGGCCAGCAGAGAGCTGGATCGGAAGTGGAGCAACAGGGACTTGAACCTGTGCTGATATGGGATGCCGGTGCTTTAGGCCAGGGCGTTAACCCACTGGCCCACAGCACCGGCCCTCTTTCTTGCAGCTCTCTTAGCAATTAGTCTAGAGGTAGGTAGGATGCAGAGTACAGAGGGTTGTTCCCTTTTGCTGCCTGCTTCACTTGCTTGTTTTCCTGTTGTGCACTGAATCCCCACAGGGGTCCCGGTAGTCCAGAGATATAGTTCCTCTGGTGCTGCTGTCCAGGGATGAGTGACAGTGGGTAGCATTCATTCCTTCATTCACTCAGCCGCTCGTTCCATAAGTAATTATTGAACACCCACCGTGTGCTTCCTGGAAGTACAGTGTGAAGTAAAGCACTGTCACACATGGGTGAACTGACATGATCTTGCTTTCAAGGATGTTACATTCTGGGGCGGGAGCAAAGCAGCTCAGTTCCACAGGGCTCCATAAATTCCTGAACAGCGGGTGTCCTGAGAGCACACAGGAGAAGCAGCTAATTCAGCAGGTGGTGAGGACTGAGCTGTCTTGAAGGTCTGTGTTTTTCCTTTAATGAGTTCCTTGGGGGGAGAAATGGATTGCCTCACGCTCTTCCTGTCTGGTTTTTTGCTTGTTTGTTTCCTTGTGTAATTTAAGGTCTCTACTTTGCTCCTGTTGCTTTCCCCTTTGCTGTCTTTGTTATTCTTTGTGTAATAATTTTACATTACTGCCCTGAGAAGTTTCTTTTAAGGTTCAAAGGAAGGTATGAAAAATCCAATCTTATAAGCAGTTTTGTGTTGTTGCTATCTAAAATTAGGACGTGAAGATTATTGTGTACTCAGAATTTTTAGTAGGAAAATGGGACAAATTTGCATATGAAGTGAAAATGGTTATTACATGACAAAATATGTAGATCAGATTTCTAGAAACAGAATTAGTCCACAACAATCAAGAGTAGGAAAGCCAGTAAAAAGTCTTATCTCTTAATTACTGCTGTGAATGTCCAAAGTACATTCTCTTAGGTGAAACATGTTCATTACTGTTTTATGATCTTCTCAAATTAAAAGGTAGTCTAGGATTGTATATATTTCAAAGGGAAACTATCTTAATTCAGTTACTCAATAAAGTATTCTTTATATGTTTCCTTACAAGTAGATTGTAAAATTATTTTTATAGGCAACGGGTCTCCCTAAATATGATTGAAATTACTGTACAATGCAAGTATTCAGATCAGAGTACCATAAGGATTTCTTCAACTTTTTTTAAATGAAAGCTTTTATTTAATAAATATATGTTTTATAAGTACAACCTTTGGATTATAGCTGTTCTTCCCCCTATATCCGCCCTCCCACCCCCAAACATCCTACCTCCTACTCCCTCTCCCATCCCATTCTTCATTAAGATTCATTTTTAATTATCTTTATACAAAGATGATCAACTCTATATTAAGTAAAGATTTAACAGTTTGCACCCACACAGACATACAAAGTATAAAGTACTGTTTGAAGACTAGTTTTACCATTAATTCTCATAGTACAACACATTAAAGACAGAGGTCCTACGTGGGGAGCAAATGCACAGTGACTCCTGTTGTTGATTTAACAATTGACACTCTTATTTATGATGTCAGTGATCACCTGAGGCTCTTGTCATGAGCTGCCAAGGCTATGGAAGCCTCTTGAGTTCACAAACTCCAACCTTATTTACACAAGGCCATAGTCAAAGTGGAAGTTCTCTCCTCCCTTCAGAGAAAGGTACCTCCTTCTTGGATGGCCCCTTCTTTCCACTGGGATCTCACTCGCAGAGATCTTTCATTTAGGTCATTTTTTTTGCCACAGTGTCTTGGCTTTCCATGCCTGAAATGCTCTCATGGGCTCTTCAGCCAGATCCGAATGCCTTAAGGGCTGATTCTGAGGCCAGAGTTCAGCTTTTTTAAAAAAAATTTATAGCGTTGTTTTCATTATGTGCCTATTATTTAAAGCACTACTTAAGTAATTCTGCTAGGCATTGACTGACCCCAAATAGACATCTAGGATTTCTAGTTTCATAGCTAATAACATTGTCTGATTATAATTTCATATTGTGTCGTACTGTAGGGACATTTAACAGTTGGGCTAGCAAACACAGTTAAGACTTTAATTTTGAGTATTTGAAGACTAGGATTGACTTTGTGGTCTGTTTGCTATCTCTATTTTGCTGCTGCTGAGTTATTTCTAAGTACTATTCCAAACCTATAAAAATTGTTATGGCCCCCGGTTGCCCCTCTTCCAGGCCAGCTCTCTGCTGTGGCTAGGGAGTGCAGTGGAGGATGGCCCAAGTGCTTGGGCCCTGCACCCCATGGGAAACCAGGAGAAGTACCTGGCTCCTGCCATCGGATCAGCGCGGTGTGCCGGCCGCAGCGCGCCAGGCACGGGGCCATTGGAAGGTGAACCAACGGCAAAGGAAGACCTTTCTCTCTGTCTCTCTGTCTCTCTCTCTCACTGTCCACTCTGCCTGTCAAAAAAAAAAAAAAAATTGTTATGGCTCAACATTTGGGGGAATGTTTGATCCTTATAATGCAAATTCAGTATCATTTCTTTTATTTTTTAATTAATTAATTAATTAATTTACTTATTTTTGACAGGCAGAGTGGACAGTGAGAGAGAGACAGAGAGAAAGGTCTTCCTTTGCCGTTGGTTCACCCTCCAATGGCTGCTGCAGCCAGTGCGCTGTGGCCGGTGCAGCGCGCTGATCTGATGGCAGGAGCCAGGTACTTACCCTGGTCTCCCATGGGGTGCAGGGCCCAAGCACTTCCCTGGCCTGGAAGAGGGGCAACTGGGACAGAATCCAGCGCCCTGACCGGGACTAGAACCTAGTATGCTGGTGCCGCAGGCGGGGGATTAGCCTGTTGAGCCGCGGCGCCGGCCAGTATCATTTCTTTTTATACACTTACTAAGCTTGTCTCTGACCTGTACATCCTGTGGAAATTAAAGGAAAGGAAAGGGGCCAGTGTTGCCGTCCTGTGGGTCAAGCTACCACCTGCTATACCAGCATCCCTTATGGGCACTGCTCCACTTCCAATCCAGCTCCTTGCTAATGTGCCTGGGAAAGCAGCAAAATATGGACCAAATGCTTGGGCCTCTACCACCTGAAGGAGACCTGGATGGAGTTCCTGGTTCCTGGCTTTGGTCTGGCCCAGCCCAGGCTGTTGCAGCCAACTGGGGGAATGAACCAGCAGTTGGAATATCTCCCTCTCTCTTTGCCTTTCTCTCTCACCCTGTAACTCTGCCTTTCAAATAAATATATGCAATATTAAGAGCAAGGACATGGACAAGTGAGTTACTAGAACTCAGAGTCTCTGGAGAGCTAAGAATAGACTTCAGGAAAGCTGGGTCTCAGTGGGAGCCTCAAGCCCCGGGAAATGCAGGTGGCACATGCTGTCTCTCGCCATCCCCGCCCGTCACTGCTGCTTTGTGCATCTTTAAAAATCTGTGCTTTTCTACCAGCTGGCCCATGTGCTCTCTGGTTCACCTGGTGGTGCTTGTTGGTCTAGTCACAGGGGACCTCTTAGTCGCCATTCCATCCTCCTGGAGAGGGGACCCTGGCTTGGTTTAGGCCGCGTGCCCCACCCCCTTGGCCAGCTCAATCTTGGCCTGGAGGGCAGAGTTACAGAATGGCACCCACTGTGAATGAGGGTCATTATGAGCTCAGAACACCCCATAAAAGTCTCCACTGTATTGCATTCCTGGGGATGTAAGAGGACTACCAGTGGGAGTGTTCCCAGATTATTGCCATCCCCATCTCAGAGAATTGCCCAGAGAGTGAGGGCTGGTTGGGTAGGGGGCTCTTTCATAATAACCCTGGGAAGGAAAAGAACACCACTGCATCTAACATTTCACTTAATGTTTCATTTTTCTTTGTAACAGGTTAGTGGTTACTTGGATGATTGTACCTGCGATGTTGAAACCATTGATAAATTTAATAACTACAGGCTTTTCCCAAGACTACAAAAACTCCTTGAAAGTGACTACTTTAGATATTACAAGGTATTTTAATTTAATTTTTTGGAATAAGAATATTTAAAATGGATAATTACATTTTATTAAGAATTATTGAGCTTTAAAATTGTGGTTATTATTTAACATTGATAGAGGCTTTTTAAGGAAAACTTGGTTTAGAAGAGTGAGCCATGTGATCCTGACAGTACCCACTGGATCCTTTTAATTGTAGTATCTTGAATTTTTCTTGCTAGAGCTAGAAACAAGTTGGTTACATTGAAGTTAGAACAGAAACTGTTATATTGTTACCAAAAATAGTGAGCTATTATTTTCATAAAGCATCAGCTTGGCTATAGTTAATTGAAATACTTACATGTTTTTGTGAAACAGCATGCTTTTAGTCTGAACTGTATTGTTCAGACTTGTATTTTATCTTTGGTAACTGCTGAAGGGGTCTAGAAGAACTGATTGTTGCAGTACTTAGTTGGCGTATGAGTTCCTAGTTGCCTAACTGTTCCCTGCATGTTCACGGCTTCTTGCTTTAAAAGCCTCTGAGTTGAGCAGTGGAGATAGAAGCTCTTTTGGCTCTTCTGGCCTTCTGTGCAAGGGTCTGGTTGGTAGCAGCAAGCCTATGTTGGTCTAACCAGCTGTACCAGTTTTCATATAGCAGCCACACTTTTAAACACTCACTGGAACTTGACAACAGATAAGTGGAAGAGAGAGATTAAGTGTAGCTGACAATATGATGATATTGTCATAGTTCAACATCTTATTTATACATGCTTTTTTTTCCTATTATTTTGTAGGTGAACCTGAAGAGGCCTTGTCCTTTCTGGAATGACATCAGCCAGTGTGGAAGGAGGGACTGTGCTGTTAAACCCTGTCAATCTGTAAGAACCGTGTCTATATTCAAGACGGTCACATCTTTTTTTATTGGTTACTAGTTTTTAAAGAGGGCCATTATCGGTAAAATAGTATTTCAGTCCTTACCTTCAGTGTAACATCCAGCAGTTACATATTAAACGCCAAAACTTGCAAAGATAAAGCCTACTTTGAATTATACTGCCTTTATAATAATAAAATTGCATGGGTAGTATAATCCTTTGAACTTATTAGGGAGGTGAATCATTCTTTTGGCTTTATTTTTTTCTTCTTGCATCTGATGTGTAGAAAGTTATGTATATAGTGTAATAAAAGGCAATTAATGTAGTTTAAACAAAAATCCTTCCCTTTATTTGATGTGTATTTTCCCCTCGGATTTTCTGGGAGAGAAGTTGGGAATAGACAAAACACCTGGTTTTACTTAGGAATTCTTGGTGCATTAAAATTTGAGGTATTCTGTTGTGACAGCAGACACTGTTACATGCTTCCATAAGAAGCCACTTTTTTTCCTGCTAAAAACATACATTTTTATTCCACTTTTAAAAATTGTGGCAGAGAATACAGAACCAGAAGTTTATCAAGTGTAACTGTTTTCAAGCGTGCAGTTCAGTGGCTTTAAGGGCATGCACAGTGTTGTGTACCCATTACTACCATGCAGCTGCAGAACCTTTTCATCCTCCCAAACTGAAACGCTGTGCTGGTTAAGCACTGACTCCCGGCCCTTCAGCTGCCTTCTCTGTGAGCTGGCTAGTCTTCACCATTTAGCCGCCTTCTCTGTGAGCTGGCTAGTCTTAGGTTCCACGTGGAAGGAGAAGCCCAGGTTTTATCCTTCTGCATCTGCTTTGTCTCATTTAGCTCAGTGTTCTCCAACTGATGCCTGCTGTGGCATGGATCAGAATGTTACTCCTTTGGGAGGTTGAATAATGGTTTTGTACTGTCTGTCTCTGCTATGTTTCTTTTATACATTCATGTTAAACGTGTATAAATGATTAAGGATCATTTCAAGTTGATGGACCTTAGGTTGTTTCCCCCTTTGGGGCTGTTTTGAGTAATGCTACCATGACCGAGGGAGTGCAGGTACCTGTTTGAGTCTTACCTTTCAGTTCTTTGGGGTGTATACCTAGAAATGGAATGGCTGAGTCATGTGCTAATTCTATGTTCAATTTTTTGGGGAACTGCCAATTGTCTTCCATAGTGGCTACACCATTTTATATTTCTCTCAGCAGTGCACAAGAATTCCAATTTCTCCACATCTTGACAATACTGTTATCTTCTGTTTTTTTGCCTTTTTTTTTTTTTTTTGCCATAGCTATCCTTATAGATGTGAAGTGGTATTGTGATTTTGAGGAGTTATTCATTTTATTTAAAAGATTTTTTATTTATTTATTTGAGAGGTAGAGTTACAGACAAAGAGAGGGAGAGACAGAAAAGTCTTCCTTCTGCTGCTTCACTTCCCAAATGGCCACAGTGGCTAGAGCTAGGCCAATCTGAAGCCAGGAGCCAGGAGCTTATTCTAGGTCTCCCATATGGGTGCAGGGGCCCAAGGACTTGGGCCATCTTCTGCTGCTTTCCCAGGCCATAGCAGTGAGCTGGATTGGAAGGGAAGCAGCCAGGACTAAAACTGGTGCTCATCTGGGATGCCGGCACCAAAGGTGGAGGCTAAGCCGCTATACCACAGTGCGGGCCTGAGGAGTTATTATTAAACATGCAACTATTGCTACATAGACCTATAAGCATGTGGAATTAAGGGAAATGTAACACTGACTTATAGATATTTTATGAGAATGAGAAGCTTGTTTTTAGTTGTATTGTTTCTCAAAGACACGAATTTTTGAAAATTCACAGATTAACTTATGAAATTCCTTATGTTACTATTATTAAAGCATGAGAAATACATTAAAATGATATTACCAAGTTACAAGTTTCATTGTATTTTTTAGGTGCTTGACTTTATATTTTAGTAATAGGAAAAAGTAGTTGGGCAGATTTAAACTTACCAATATCTTATTTATGTAACTTATTTAAAATGCTAAAATATGATACTTAGTAAAGTTATGTAGTTAGATTTAGGCATTAGTATTAGTCAGAAAGCACAAATAGCTGTACAGTCATTGCCAAGCTGAATCTCATCTTGAAACGACAGTTATTTCTGGATTTTATTAATGATGGATGAAACTCAGAGGACCAGAAAACCTGAGAGATGCTCAGCGTGAGGTAATAGCTCACTGATTCGCAGCCTGACACACTGACGCGTGCGGTGCGCTTCATTGTAAATCCTAGTGGACACCAGTTTTGGCATTGAAGAAGTGCTCAGCAATAGCTCTGATCAGAATGTGGAGCACGCTGAGGATGCGGTGCGGGGCGGGGCGGGGCGGGAGTGGGCCGCTCTGCCCCTGTAGAATTGGGCAGTGCCTCGCATGAACAAAGGTCGTGACGGAGAGAAGGGTGGATAACTGGATAATCTGAAATGTCTATGCACCTAACGAGTCTTCCTAGTTTATAATTATATATGTTAGCTTAGGGGCTAAGTGGCACAGTTAGACCCGAGTTTCAGAAAGGTAACTGGCAGTATAGTGGGGGAGAGGAAGGTGAAGACATGAAGAAAAGACTAGAAAAGTCCTGTCAGTTAGCAGTTCAATGTAATTTGGTTCAATGGTGAATATTTCTTAGGGGCCTACTTCCGTGCCCGAACCTAGGCATGCTGGATAACCCCTGACCTTGAGGAGCTTGTGATTTAATAGGGGAGAGAACTATATCTGATCATTTCAGAACAGAGGTGATAGTCCTAATAGAGAGACACTGCAGACAGCTCACTGTGAGAGCACAGAAGGGTGGGCAAGAGAGGGTAGCAGGAAGAAGCTCCACTCCCGGTGACAGTGAGGGCATGAACCATTTGTGTTCCTCTTGGGACAAGCCTGGACTCAGTTCAGCTGGTGTATTGGAACCACAGAGTGATTAAGGATCATTTCAAGTATTTTGGGATAATTTCTTCAGCCTAAATCATTAGCTTTCATAGATAGCATTTATATTTGCATTATTGACATCTCACTGTTATATATACTGTATGCATCTATGAGAAAGGACCATGTGCCGTTATCATGACTAAACAACAGTCCTGTGTTAATCTAATGTAGGCACAATAAACATGGTGAACTCACTACTTTATATGGTCTGCCACTGTGTATTTTTTTTAAGAGGGATTTATTTGGAAAGTGGAGCAACAGAGAATGAGGGAGATACAGAGAGATCTTCCTGTCTCTGCTGGTTCCCACTTCAAATGCCCGTAACAGCCAGGGCTGTACTAGTCCTAAGCCAGGAGCCCAGAACTACATCTGGGTCTCCCATGTGGGTGGCAGGGACCCAGCCACTTGGGCTATCTTCTGTTACTTTCCCAGACTCATTAGTAGGGAACTGGCTAGGAAGCAGAGCAACTGGGACTTGAAATGGCTCTTGGATATGGGATGCAGGCATAACGTCCCTGTAACGTTCACCCTGTCACTGTTTTGTCAATGCCTTTTTGGACTAAACAGGAAGAAAAATCAGTTTTCTTCTTCAGTTCATTCCCAGACCTGGTTCAGGTTGTACTCTGTGGCCTAGGAGGAGACAGAGAAGATTTAAGGTCTTCCTATCCTTGGTACTTTAGAAATAACATCCTTAATTTGTCTAGAGAAGATGTAAATGAAAAGATGATCTGCCCATAGAGGCTTGAATCTCTCTACAAACTGAAAGGCCCATCATTCATTCCCTTTACAATGAATCAAAACAAGGTTCTTTCAGTCCCGTTATTCATTGGCCAATGTGGAAAAGAATAATACAATACCTTTAGGGCTGATTCTGAGGCCAGAGTGCTATTTAGGGCATCTGCCATTCTATGAGTCTGCTGAGTATCTCACTTCCCATGTTGGATCACTCTCCCCTTTATTTATTCTATCGGTTAGTGTTAGCAGGTACTAGACTTGCTTATGTGCTCCCTTTGACTCTTAGTCCTTTCATTATGATCAATTGTGAACTGAAATTGATCACTTGGACTAGTGAGATGGCATTGGTACATGCCACCTTGATGGGATTAAATTGGAGTCCCCTGGTATGTTTCTAACTCTACCATTTGGGGCAAGTCAGCTTGAGCATGTCCCAAATTATATATCTCTTCCCTCTCTTATTCCTACTCTTATGTTTAACAGGGATCACATTTCAGTTAAATTTCAACACTTAAGAATAACTGTGTATTAATTACAGAATTAAATCAGTCATATTAAGTAGAACAGACAAAAAAACTACTAAGAGGGATAATGTATTAAGTTGTTCATTAACAGTCAGGGCTATGCTGATCAAGTCACCGTTTCCCATAGTGTCCCTTTCACTTCAACAAGTTTCCTTTTTGGTGTTCAGTCAGTTGTCACCGATCAGGGAGAACATATGGTATTTGTCCCTTTGGGACTGGCTTATTTCACTCAGCATGATGTGTTCCAGATTCCTCCATTTTGTTGCAAATGACTGGATTTCGTTGTTTCTTACTGCAGTATAGTATTCTAAAGAGTACATATCCCATAATTTCTTTATCCAGTCTACCGTTGATGGGAATCAGCCCTAAAGGCATTCAGATCTGGCTGAAAAGCCCATGAGAGTATTTCAGGCATGGAAAGCCAAGACACTCTGGCAAAAGATCTCGGTGAGTGAGATCTCAGTGGAAAGAACAGGTCTTCAAAGAAGGAGGTACCTTTCTCTGAAGGGAGGAGAGAACCTCCACTTTGACTATGACCTTGTCTAAACAAGATAAGAGTCGGAGAACTCAAGGGGCTTCCATAGCCTTGGAAACTCATGACTGGAGCATAGGGAGATTACTGATGCCATAGACAGGAGTGTCAATTGGTAAAGTCAACAACAGGAGTCACTGTGCACTTACTCCTCATGTAGGATCTCTGTCCTTAATGTGCTGTGCATTGAGATTTAATGCTATAACGAGTACTCAAATAATATATTTCACTTTGTGTTTCTATGGGGGTGCAAACTGTTGAAATCTTTACTTAATGCATACTAAACTGATCCTCTGTGAACAAAAAAAAAATAATAAAAACAAAAAAAAATAAAATGAAAAGAAACTATCAACTCCCAACTTGACTCTCACTGGGATTAAACATGACAATAGGTCTGATCTGATTTCATCATCATTAAAAAAAATCATCTATTATTTTTCACTTTATGTTTCTGTGTGGGAGCAAACTGTTGAAATCCTTACTTAATGTATACTAAGCTGATCTTCTGTATATTAAGATAATCGAAAATGAATCTTGATGTGAATGGAAGGGGAGAGGGAGTGGGAAAGGGGAGGGTTGTGGGTGGGAGGGACGGTATGGGGGGGAAGCCATAGTAATCCATTATTCGTACTTTGGAAACGTATATTCATTAAATAAAAGTTAAAAAAAAAAAAAAAAAAAAAGAATAACAATACCCAGTGTTAGTTTAGGAAGAAGAAATAAGCACCCTGGTGGTTAAGTCTTTTTGGAGATAAATTTGGCAGATGTATCCAAAAAAATTGTAGAGGTACATACCCTTTGTGCTAGCAAAGCTATCAATTCTGCTGAAATTAATCTATACTAAATATGGCATTTTAAAAAATTTATTTGACAGAGTTAGTGAGAGAGAAAGACAGAGAGAAAGGTCTTCCTTCCATTGGTTCACCCCCTAAATGGCCGCTACTGCCGGAACTATGCCGATTCAAAGCCAGGAGCCAGGTGCCTCCTCCTGGTCTCCCATGTGGGTGCAGGGCCCAAGCACTTGGGCCATCCTCCACTGCCTTCCCGGGCCACAACAGAGAGCTAGACTGGAAGAGGAGCTGCCGGGACAGAATCCGGCGCCCCAACTGGGACTAGAACCCGGTTCCCATATGGGATGCTGGCACCATAGGCGGGAGGACTAACCAAGTGAGCCACGGTGCCGGCCCTGATATGATGTTTTTTTATTGTTTGAAAAAAGTTGAATCCATTTAAATGTCTGGCCATACAAAAACAATATACACTGATCTAGTTTGAAGTCTGGAAGAAGACACAATAAAGTGATTTTCTGGCTTCCTGCTAATGCAGACCCTGGAGGGGGCAGAGATGGCTGTGGTAGTTGGGTTCCTACCCCTCACTGGGAGACCTGGACTGAGCTCCTAGCTCTTGACTCCTGACGTAGGCCCTTGGCCAGGGACTATTTTTGGCATTTGAGCAGTGAACCAATAGATGAGAGTGTGTGCTCTCTATCTTTCTCTCTCACTCCTCCTTTCAAATAAATAAATGAAAATTTTAGAGATGATTGAAAGATAGGAACAGGCAATTCCCCGAGTATCTTCTCATAACTGAAAACCACAAATGCTCCCATGGACTCCTGGAGTCAGATGAAGAGGACAGAGGTGCTCACAGAAACACGTGCTTAGTCCATCTCCTAGTGATCAAATATGGGACAATTTGAATATCAGAAGGAATAACATGAAGTGCCTCTGTTTACATTTCCATTCTGTAATAATTGATCAGAAAGCCGTAGAATAATTCATTGAATTTTTATTTACTCTTAAGAAATTATATAAAAACTGCCTGACTATTCTCAGTTTAAAAAAATGTGTTAACTTCAAAGGTTTGTTTTATGAATTTCTCATAAATCATAGAAATTCAAAGTCCTGAATTGGGAGATAGAATAAATGTTGTCTAAAAGCATTCTGTTTTCTTGTTCAGGATGAAGTTCCTGATGGAATTAAATCTGCGAGCTACAAGGTATGCATGTGCACCCTACACTTGGTTTCCCCTGTAATTAACACCCGACATGAGCATAGTGCATTTAGTACAGTTAATGCATGCGTGTTGATGCATTATTGCTAATGAAAGTCCATCCTTTATTCACATTGCTTTAACTAATACCTAACGTCCCCTTTCCCTGTCCCAGTGTCCCATCCTGGGTACCTCAGTAGGTTTAGTTGTCACATCTCCCTAGGCTCCTGTTGGCTGTGACAGTTTTCAAGGCTTGGTTTTTAGTAAGGTGTTTTTCAGGAGTACTAATCAGATGTTCTTTAGAATCTGTCTGATGTTCTGATGTTCTCCCCAGTACTGGCCCAGGATGATGTGTGCTGGGGAGGAGGGCCCAAAAAGTCAGTGATGGCATTTGCATCCCTTGTGGCAAGAGCAGCTGCCATAAACAGGGCTGTCTATTACGCCGCTCACCTGACCCAGGTGGTCTTTGTCAGATGTCTTCACTGCCAGCCCTTCTCATGTGGTGTTCTTTGGAAAGAAGTCTGTGCACAGTCCACACCTAGGGAGTGCGGAATCATTCCCCTCCTGGAGAACAGAGTGTCTGCATAAATTATCTGGAATTCTCCGGCATTGGGGGTTTGCATCTCCTCCTCTATACTTAGTCATTTATTTATATCACTATGGACTCATGGAAATTTATTTATGCCATAATGCAAAAATAACCAGTAAGAACTTGTTCTTCATTTTCTGACTTTTCTGGATACTAAGAAACTGAGCTTCTCTCTCAAGGATGCTATACTAGGTGCCTGTTCACCAACTAATTGCACTCGGACAAATGGCTGAGGACAGCTGTCTACTTACAGTCTTGGGAAGTGGCCGGAGAAGTGTTAGGTTCCGCTACCATTGTTGGTCTCTTAGACTTAGCAGTGGTTGGCACAATGGGCTGTGTCAGTATGTGTGAAGCCACAGGCCACCTTTTGATTGGTCAGTGGGAAACCTGTGAAATTGTAGTTACGCTTATGAGAAATGTGAGAAATAGAGGCCTGCATATAGAGAATGGTCTTGCTTAGTGATTTTACCTTTTATTGTGTAGTAAATTCACTCCGTTGGAAACTGACAACTGTGTAATTATTTTTATTATGTGGTAATGCTTTTAAATTTTGCAGTGAATCCTTTTGGCTGAAGTAATTATAAAAAAAAGGAAAAAGAAAATACTTGTTTCATGAAAAGTAAAGTGTTGAATTTTGCATTTCTCATGGCAGATGTATTTTTTTTTGGACAGGCAGAGTTAGAGAGAGAGACAGAGAGAAAAGTCTTCCTTCCGTTGGTTCGCCCCCCACAAATGGCTGCTACAGCCGGTGCACCGTGCTGATCTGAAGCCAGGAGCCAGGTGCTTCTCCTGGTCTCCCATGGAGTGCAGCCCAAGCACTTGGGCCATCCTCCACTGCACTCCCGGGCCACAGCAGAGAGCTGGCCTGGAAGAGGGACAACCGGGACAGAATCCGACGCCCCGACCGGAACTAGAACCCGGTGTGCCGGTGCCACAGGCGGAGGATTAGCCTAGTGAGCCGTGGCGCCGGCCTCTCATGGCAGGTTTTCTTATTTTATTTTATTTTATTTTTTTTTTATTTTTGACAGGCAGAGTGGACAGTGAGAGAGAGAGACAGAGAGAAAGGTCTTCCTTTGTCATGGCAGGTTTTATGATGTGTAACTTGTACAGAAGATCATCATTTCCTGTGCTTCAGGGACATAGAAATCTCACTGACCACAGGGAAAACATAACATCCCCGTCTGCTGGCAAAGCCCGAGTGTCTGCGTTGTAGGCTACCTGTTATCCTTAGACTGTGTCCAAAGACAGGAATTTAGTATATGCAGCTGCAGAATACATTTACTTAGTGGTCTGGGACATGTGATTATTCATTTGGACTAATTGCTCAAAAATTTTCCCAATATTTTATTATGAAAAAATTTAAACATATAGCAGAGGTAGAGGAATTTTCCTGTGGATACCGTGATGCTTGTCACTTAGATTCTACCATTAACGTTATTAAATAATAATTATTTTTTTTAAGATTTATTTATTTACTTGAATGAATTACACAGAGGGAGAGAGAAAGAGAGAGAGGTAGGTCTTCCATCCGCTGGTTCACTCGCCAGTTGGCCCCAATGGCTGGAGCTGTGCCAATCCAGAGCCAGGAGCCAGGAGCTTCTTCCGGGTCTCCCACGTGGGTGCAGGGGCCCAAGGACTTGGGCCATCTTCCACTGCTATCCCAGGCCATAGCAGAGAGCTGGATTGAAAGTGGAGCAGCTGGGACTCGAACTGGCGCTCAAATGGGATTCTGGCACTGAGACGGGAACTTTACCTGCTACGCCACAATGCCGGCCCCCACCATTAACATTTTGATAAACTTTTTACCATATATTTGGCTATCTGTTCATCCTTCTAGCCATCCATCAGAATATCTTATTTCTGGATGCATTTCAAAGTATATTCAGACATCAATACACATCTTCCTAAATACATGTCATTAACTGGGTGAATATACATAAGTATGTCATTAACTGGAGTCCAATATTTGTGTACATCTAGTTTTTATAAAATCACACAGTGAAAAGCATAACTATTAACTGTGCATTTTCTGAATGCTGACAGATGCATATCTGTACCTGCTCATTTTGATTCCACGTTTTCTTCCATACACAGAGCGTGAAGTCATTGCTAGAACTTTTTGGTTCCAGAGGCAGAACAACTTTGTACATAGTTCAACGATGTCATCACAAACTGTGTCAAAGATAAAATAATTTCAACAGAAGATTTTAAAAAAATTGTCCTGACGGACCGAGTAAAGCGTTATGTTGAAGGAAAGCACTTATAATTATCGTGAATGCCAGTATAAATTCAGTCTAAGTTCAAATTTGAAGACAAAATACTTGCTTTGTGGTGACAATACGCTTATACAATGTCCTTGGTAGAAACAGTATCTGTACTAAATCAAGAAATTTGTAGACCAGAGATATATTTGTAATTAAGGTACATAAATTATTCATTGTTGTGTCCAAACAAACTATGACATTTTACCAATTAACATAGAAGCCATATTGTCAAAATCTAGGTATTATTTACGTAATGAACATGAAAAAATTTTTTAAAATTTATTTATTTAAAATGCAGAATTACTGAGAGAGAAGGAGAGACACATAGAGAGAGCTTCCATCCCTCCCCAAATGCCTGCACCAGCCAGGGCTGGGCCAGCCAAAGCCAGGAGCTGTATCTGGTCTCCCACATGGGTGGCAGGGCCCAAGTATTTGCTGCTTTTCCAGGTGCGTTATCTGGGAACTGGATTGGTGGAAAATGCTTAGTATGAAAAAGCTATGCATGGATTTAAGATTTTTTGTATCAAAATAAACATATTTGAATTACATTTTTTCTATAAACTATTTAGCAGCTTTTAAAATCTTATTTTTATTCTTGAGAGGCAGACACACAGGGGGAAGTCCCATCTACTGGTTTCTTCCCCCAGGACTCATAATGGCCCTGGTTGGGGCCAAAGCCAGTGGTGGAACTCAGTCCAGACTTCCTACGTGGCTGTCAGGAGTCCAGTCCCCTGAGCTGTCACTTCTGCCTCCCAGTGCACATGAGCAGGAAGCTGCAGTCAGGAGCAGAAGTTGCTGTCAAATCAGAGCACTCTGATGTGCGACCTGGGCACCTTGACAGTGTCTTAATTTCAAGGCCAAATGCCTGCCCCTTCCGTGGACTTTTTAAAGTACTCTCTTTTTTTTTTTTTTTTTTTAAGATTTATTTATTTGAGAGGCAGAGAGGTCTTCCATCCACTGGTTCACTCCCCAAATGGGTGCGGTGGCTGGAACTGGGCCATTCCAAAGCCAGGAGCCAGGAGCTTCTTCTAGGTTTCATATGTAGGTACAGGGGCCCAAGGACTCTGGCCATCTTCCATTGCTTTCTCAGGCCGTTGGCAGGGAGCCGTTTAGGAAGAGGAACAGCTAGGACAGGAACTGGCGCCCTTATGGGATACTGGCGCCTCAGGCGTCGGCTTAACCTACTACGCCCCAGTGCTGGCCCCCTAAAGTACTCTTGGATTGCATAAAACAACACAGGGGTCTCCCAGAGGTTTTGGCCAGTTTTAAATGAATTAACCCTCTACATTTTCATTACAGTTTTTTCAAAATGAGTGGAACATTTTTATTCAAATTATCAATGAATAGAATACATAAAGAAAAAACCTAAATTTCAACTTTTAAAGGTTTAGAAAATTACAGTTATTATAATAAAACTTGTAAACAAAGACCTTGATATTTGTTCCTACAAAAACTAGGGAGGAATTGAGCACGTTAAATGAGGAAAGCTCTAATCAGTTGGACAAGAGCTAAGGAAGGCAAGGATGCATGTAAATGCAATAGGTTTATGATCTGGATTATAATGTAGTTTTGTTTGTACCTCTGTAGTTACCTGTATTCTATAACATCCAGTTTATTTGAAAATAATACTGACAGATGGTTAGTTCAAGTTGATTAACCATAAAACGAAGAGGACTGTGTACAATTTTATGAAAAATTAAAAATAAGAACATATTGAGATGAACATATCTCATTTTGAAGTGCTTGGTGTGAGTTTTGGTTACTCAGCTTCTTCTTTTTTTTTTAAAGGCATAGAGGGAGAGACAGAGAGAAAGAGATTGTTTATTCACTGGTACTGGTTCACTCCCCACATGGCCCCAATAGCCGGAGCTGTGCCAGGCTGAAGCCAGGAACCAGGAGCTTCTTCCAGATCTCCCAATGAGAGTGCAGGGGCCCAAGCAATTGGGCTGCTTCCCACTGTTCTCCCAGGCCATCAACAGGGAGCTGAATTGGAAGTGGAGCAGCCAGATCTCAAACTGGTGCCCACTTGGGATGCAGGCAGTGCCTTAACCCACTATGCCACAGCATTGGCCACTTTGTTCTTTTCACATAGGTATTTTTACGTGTTTTTTTGTTTGTTTGTTTGTTTTTAAGATTTATTTATCTATTTGAAAGGAAGAACTACAGAGAGGTGGGGGGGGGGGGGCGGAAAGGAGGGAGGAAGAGAGAGAGACCGACCTGCCATCTGCTGGTTCACTCCCGAAATGACCGTGATGGCTAGAACTGAGCCCATCTGGAGCCAGGAGCCTGGAGCCAGGAGCTTCTTCCAGGTCTCTTATGTGGGTGCAGGGGCCCAAGGACTTAGGCCATCTGCTGCTGCTTTTTCAGGCCACAGTAGAAAGCTGGATCGGAAGTGGAGCAGCCGGTACTGGAACAGGCACCCATATGGGATTCCAGCATTGCAGGTGGCGACTTGGCCAACTCTGCCACAGCACCGGTCCCACTTTTTATTTTGAAATAATTTCCAACTTAGAAAATTTGCTGGATTAGTATAAAGCATTTCTGTATACTCTTTCTGCAGATTGATTAGTTTTTCATATTTTGCCACATTTTTAAATTGTACTTTTTGTATATACAAATTATTTCCTGAACCATTTGATTGTAGGTTGAACACATCATATCCTTCTATCCTTTGAACCTAATTATGTATGAAAACCTTATTTTAAACAATAATTTTTGAATTGAACTAATAATTATAATAAAACAAGGTTATCATTCAGTAAAGAGAATTTCAAAAAATTATCTCAGTAATTTTAGAGGTCAGTAATTTTAGTGTCCAGTCTGGACAGTAATTTGCATGGTCATCTCGCCAACGAGGCCATGAAAGGGACTCCGTGAGCATCTGTTGAGTGAGTATGTGTCCTCCTGATCACATTGTCGACTTGGCAGCTGTGCTGTGGTGAGGAGTGATGCGTGAAGAAGTCCCAGGAGCCGGTCAGGCCAAGTAGAAAAGATGCGGGTACCTCAGGGTGTTTGTGGGACGATAGAGCTCAAAGATAAATTTTTGTGCAAAAATTTTTGAAGCCAGGCACAGAAAGAGCCTCCAGTAATTTCTTTTTTTTAATTTCTTTTTTATTTATTTATTTGAAAGTTAGAGTTACACAGAGAGAGGAGAGGCAGAGAGAGAGAGAGAGGAGAGAAAGAATGGGAGGGAGGGAGGTCTTCCATCCACTGATTCACTCCCCAATTGGCCTCAACGGCTGGAGCTGCGCCAATCTGAAGCCAGGAGCTTCCCCCAGGTCTCTCCCGCGGGTGCAGGGGCCCAAGGACTTGGGCCATCGTCCACTGCTTTCCTAGGCCACAGCAGAGAGCTGGATTGGAAGTGGAGCAGCGGGGCCCTGAACTGGCACCCATATAGGATACCGGTGCTTCAGGCCAGGGCATTAACCTGCTGCGCCACAGCCCTGGCCCCCTCCAGTAATTTCTAAAGTAATTTTTGAAAGTTTAGAATACAGTAGCCACATTCTGTGTGTCCCCTTCATTGCAGTATTCTGAAGAAGCGAATAATCTCATTGAGGAGTGTGAGCAGGCTGAGCGGCTCGGAGCAGTGGATGAATCCCTGAGGTTTGGTCTTTTTCTTTTTGCAGCAGTGTTTTATACCTCTTTTCATGCCGTGCATAAACTTTAAAAAGGAATAACAGTATTTTGTTTGTTTGTTTGTTTGAAGTGAGGAGACGCAGAAGGCTGTTCTTCAGTGGACCAAGCATGATGACTCTTCAGACAACTTCTGTGAAGCTGATGGTACATTTTTATTGTGTGCATTGCTTCAAATTCCACCTAAGAAAAAAATTCTTTGAAAATTTATTTACATTTTTGTTTATTTGAAAAGGCAGAGAGAGAGAGAGAGAGAAGAAGGCAGATACAGACAGATGTCCTCTATCAGCTGGTTCTCTCTCCAGATGCCTGCAACAGCTAGGTTTGGGCCAGGCGAAGCCAAGAGCCCCGAAATCAACCCTGATGTCCCCAGTGCAAGTCAGGGACCCAAGTACTTGATCTATCACCTGCTCCTCCCAGGGTTAACACTGGTAGAAAATTGGAGTTGGAATTGGCACTGGGATTCCTACCCAGGCACTGTGATGTGCAGTACAGGTGATCCAAGCAATATCTTAACTGCTGCACTAAATGTCCTCCACTAAAACCATCCTTTTAAAAACAGTGTATAACAGATTAGTGGTGCCTCAAAAAGCTAAACACAGAATTATTCTTTGATATAATAGTTCCCTACTCAGAAGAATTGAAACAGGGACTCAGACAGATAATGGTATACCAGTGTTCATTGCAGCATAATTCACAATAGTCAAAATGTAGAAATAACTCATGCGTCCATTACAAGATTAATAGAGAAACAAGATGTGGTCTATACACATAAGGGGACTTCAAGAAGTTTGCAAAAAATTTGAATTATTTAAAAAAAATTTAAAATTACTTATTTAAAAAGCAGCAGAGCATAGAGACTGATATAGAGAGCTCTTCCATCATTTTTTAAAAAAAATATTTATTTATTTCTTTGAAAGGCAGATTTACAGAGAAAGAAAAGGGAGAGACATCTTCCATCCGCTTGTTCACACCCCAAATGGCCTCAGTGACTGGAGCTGGGCCGATCCGAAGCCAGGAGCCAGGAGTTTCTTCCAGGTCTCCTATGTGGGTGCAGGGGCCCAAGTACTTAGGCCATCTTCCATTGTTTTCCCAGGCACATTAGCAGGGAGCGGCATTGGAAGTAGAATAGCCAGGACTCGAAACAGCATCCATATGGGATGCCGGCGCTGCAGATGGTGGCTTAACCTGCTATGCCATAGCGCCGGCCCCTCCCAACTTTTGATTCACTCCCCAAATGTCTACAACAGCCTGGATTGGGTCAGGCCAAAGGGAGGAGCGAGGAACTCAGTCTGGGTCTCCCACCTGAGTGGCAGGGATCCAACTATTTGGGCCATCATGTGTCATCTACCAGGGTGTGCATTAGTAGGAAGCAGGGATTGAGAGTGGAGCTGAGACTTAAACTCAGCACTGTTACAGAGGATTGGATATCCCAGTAACTGCTATGCCAACTGCGTGCCCCACGCATTATATTTTAATTCTGTTTTTTCCATAAGGCTTTGAAGGCCCTTTGTGCAATGGAATGCTTTTCAGTCACTTAAAGGGAATGAAGTTCAAACACATACTAAATGGAAAAGGCAGTCAGAGAAGGACAAGTATTGTATGAGTTCATTTACAGGAAATGCCTACAATAGACAAATTGGTAGAGACAGAAAAGTCGATTAGGGGTTACAGAGGTGAGAATGGGGATAGGAAATTCATTCTAAATGGGAACATAGTTCTTTTGGGATGATAGTGATGGTTTCATAATATTGCAAATTTAAGTGTGGTGAAACTGGTAAATTTTTATTATATTTTACCACAGCCTAAGAATATTTAAACAGAGAACTCAGTTTCAGAAAAATTTACCTGTGACTTACAGTTCTGAATATCTGGTAGTTTATGTGTAATTCATTTTGTCTCCCTATCTATGCATTTTGCATAATTTTTTTTTTTTTTGACAGGCAGAGTGGACAGTGAGAGAGAGACAGAGAGAAAGGTCTTCCTTTTGACATTGGTTCACCCTCTAATGGCCGCCGCGGCCAGCGCGCTGTGGCCGCCGGTGCACCGCGCTGATCCGATGGCAGGAGCCAGGTGCTTCTCCTGGTCTCCCATGGGGTGCAGGGCCCAAGGACTTGGGCCATCCACCACTGTACTCCCTGGCCACAGCAGAGAGGGGCAACCGGGACAGAATCCGGCTCCCCGACCGGGACTCGAACCCGGTGTGCCGGCGCCGCAAGGCGGAGGATTAGCCTAGTGAGCCGCAGCGCCGGCCGCATTTTGCATATTTAAAAGCACGTATAAATGTATTTAAAATGTAGAAATTACAAACAAATCTGCCTGTGTTGCAGTGCTGTTGGGCTGTGTTTTTCCTTGGTAGCGGGCTCTGGCGCTGTTGTTGGAGGAGAGCACATTGAACTTGAGTCAGTCCGTGACATCTGAAGCTCAGCCAAAGTGCTGGTGCTGTTCAAATCCAGGAGCTCTGACACCCATTAGAACTCTTTGATCATGGCTTATGGATTCGCTCACTCTGCTTTCTCTGATATCTCCTATTTTCTAAGTTGAATTCTTATCCTCTTAATTGGCTAAAAACATCAAATCAAATTGAATTTTGCAGGTTCCTTTGCAGTGGATTAATGGCCTTTAAAAACTACTAAAAAGAATGATAATTTAAATATAAGTGAAAAATGAAGCCTTCAATTCCCATAAAAGAGAAAGAAGAAAGAAAAGTATATTTAATTTGTGGCTTTTTTCTTTTTGAAAAAGAGCTTCCTTTAATAGAAAATATTAACTTTTTTTTTTTTTGGCACCTAAGTATCTGTAATCCCCATTTCTAATTCCAAACTCCCAAAGCTCTGTAAGATGAACATTTTCACCCCATGGGAATGGGAAATGTTGATGTGTGGGTTAGAGGTCGCTGCCGCCCCTCCCGCAGCAGCGCTCAGGGTATGGCCTGTGCTCTGTTGCCTTGGTAACACCTGTAAAGGTCTCAATTCCAAAGCCCATTCGGTCCCAGGGTGCTGGGTCAGGGGTTGTAGACACTGCCAAGATTTACAGCTACAATGGGAAGGAGATACAGTGTTCCTCCAGCCCTCTTACTTGGCCAGTTTTGCCACAGATTTTTTTTTGGCTTTAAACATTGTTGTGTAAGACCTAAGACAGAACTGAATTTATAGAATACAGCAAATATCTCTAGGCCTGCAATTGTTATGAGAAGGATGGTAATATTTTAGTTGCCTGGGCAGGTGTCTGGCCTAGCAGTGGTGTCCCGTGTCCGAGTTCCTGGGTTTGATCCCGTCTCTGGTTCCTGACTCCAGCTTCCTGCTAGTGTACACGCTGGGAGGCAGCTGGGATGGCTAAGGAGTTGGTCCCTGCCACCCACACAGGGGACCTGGACTAAGCTTGTAGCTCTCAGTTGCAGCCTGGCCCAACTCCAGCCATTTTGGACATTTGGGAAGTAAACCAGTCAGTGAGAACTGTCTGTCTCTCTGCCTTTCAAATGAGCGCATACAATTAAAAAAAATCAAGGGCCGGCGCTGTGGCTCACTTGGTTAATCCTCCACCTGCGGTGCCGGCATCCCATATGGGCGCCGGGTTCTAGTCCCGATTGCTCCTCTTCCAGGCCAGCTCTCTGCTGTGGCCCGGGAGGGCAGTGGAGGATGGCCCAAGTGCTTGGGCCCTGCACCCGCATGGGAGAGCAGGAGGAAGCACCTGGCTCCTGGCTTTGGATTGGCGCAGCTCGCCGGCTGTAGCAGCCATTTGGGGGGTGAACCAATGGAAGAAAGACCTTTCTATCTGTCTCTCTCTCTCCCTGTCTAACTCTGCCTGTCAAATAAAAAAAAAAAATCAAAACAAAACCTTTAACTTTCATTCCTTTTGAGACTATAATGTGTAGCACTGAGTGAGAATCAGGATTCCCCTCTTACATGATAGTTAAGTGAGCATCACTTTCCCATCTGTGTGTTTCTGCTACCTAACGGGTGTGGATATTTTCATAAGGACTGCTTTATAGGGAAATACGTATGCATGTAACAGAGGTAAAGTGCAGAGGGTATTTTATAAAACCTAACTAGAAATTGTGCTTTTGTCTGGTGGCAAAATAGGGTTACAGTAACATTTTTGTTTTTATTAAGTTGAAGGGAGATGAAGAGTGTTTGCCCTAAAATTATGAGGCAATGAATGTTTATCTCTAATTAGGTAAAAATCTGGTCATTTCTTGATGGGTTTGTGTTTTAAGGTCTTGGATACTGAGCATTATTTATATATTTTAAAATTCAGAGGTTTCTTTTTTTTTTTTAAAAGGAATGTGTTATAATTTGCTATACTGTGGCAGTTGCCTTTGGTATTAACTGTAAGGAACAGAATTATCCCTTCCTGAATTAGGTGATTCCCTGCTGATTTGCTAAGTTCTTGTATTGACTTTCTGAAGTTTATTTCATTGCCACTTCCGCATTTAACGTCCGTCATGTGTAGCTGTCCTCAGTGGGCTGCTTTCGGAAGCAGCCCTCTTCCTAGCTTATGCTTCTGAGAGGTGAGCTGCGATACAAGTAACCCAGCTTCTTTGTTTTTGTTTTTTTTTTTTTTTTTTTTTGCTCCTTATTCCCCTTGAAAGCTTGGTAGAGTTTATTAGATGCACCTTGGTCATCCCCTTTGTGAATTTTTGTCACCCACTTTGCTTGTTGCAGCTCATTTTTGCCACTTGCTCATTCTTTGTTGGTTTCTATCATTAAGCTTTGTGGGTAGCATGGTACTGATGTACTAAGTAATATCCCAGAGTCCCTGGAGGACTGGGTACCATTGTTTTGTTTTGAAATAATTTTTTAAATTAGAGATTTATTTATTTATTTGAAAGGCAGAGTTACAGAGAGGCAGAGGCAAAGGCAGAGAGATCTTCCATCCACTTGTTCACTCCCCAAATGGTTACAGTGGCCAGAGCTGGGGTGATCAGGAGCTTCTTCTGGGTCTCCCACACTGGAGCAGGGGCCCAAGCATCCTCCACTGCTTTCCCAGACCAAAGCAGAGAGTTGGATTGGAAGTGGAGCAGCTGGGACTCGAACCGTCACCCATATGGGATGTGGCACTGCAGGTGGCGGCTTTACCTGCTACAACACAGCGCTAGCCCTGAAATTCTATTACAGTAGAAATAAGTAGTGGGACCTGGGTTCTTTTTTATTAAGTTTTATTTATCATTTTTCTGAGATAATATTTTAATTTACATTATAATCAAAGGCTTCTTGGCCTCACTAAATAAAGAGTTCAACAAATAAAAAGTGACAGCACTGTAGCCCAGCAGGAAATAGGGGACTGGCTTCTCGCCCACGGTGGCTCCGGAGCCCTAGTTCCTAACTGCCGAGACATTTCTGCACCCAGAGCGTCCGGCAATGTGGCTGTGTTTATTTCTCCCTCTTTTCCTCATTTTCTTTCTCCTGAAAAGTGATTCTAAAATTCCTGCTGCGTTGTTGCAGTCACAGTGCCTGAGAATCAGTGGGATACAGTCTGTGTACCGGCCCTGTCAGGTAACTGAAGAGAAGAAGGACTTAACGAAGCACTTTGTCTTACAGACATACAATCCCCGGATGCTGAGTACGTAGATTTGCTGCTTAATCCTGAGCGCTACACGGGCTATAAGGGACCAGATACTTGGAAGATATGGAATGTCATCTATGAAGAAAACTGCTTCAAGTATGTGTCACCTTCATCTTGGAGTTTCTGTGGCAATGAGTTTTTTAAATAAACAAAATTGTAATAATTTAAAATTACAAATCAAGTTTACTTTGTTAGTATTTGGACATAGAAACATAGCTATTCATTAATCCAGTTCTCTGGGGAATCATTTAGGTACAAATTTCAACAAATCTTTCTTTTTTAAAAGACTTGGATTAGCATTAGGTCATTGTGGGAGTACAGTGAGCACTTGACAGATGTCGCTGGGTAGACTGTGGAATCTCATCTAAGAGATGGGGAACTGTAGCCTCCGGGGGTTCCCTTCACTTCCCGAGGACAGACGGTCAGCGGCCACACAGGGCAGATTGGGAACTGTGCTCGCTTTCCCCTTTTTGGTGCTCTGTACTCCTCCTTCCGTGGCTGTAGTTCTATTCGTTGCTTTACACTTGAAGTTAAGTGGATCTCAGAGAATAACTGGAGCACACACTGGTGTTGTGCTCAGCCCGTCGTGTGCACGTTCTCGGCAGGCCCCGCACTGGCCCTGTGCCGTGGGGCCTCCTGTTTTACAGCTGGAGACTCTGGGACTCAGAGAGGTCAGCTCTTTGTCCTTTCCTCCCTCTCTCCCAGTCTCCCTTTCTGCCTCTCTCTACTGTTCTGCCTTTCAAATAAATAGATAAATCTTAAAAAAAAAAATGATGACCTGGGGCCAGTGCTGTGGCACAGCGGGTTACAGCCCTGGCCTGAAGCACCAGCATCCCATATGGGCGCCGGTTCTAATCCTGGCTGCTCCACTTCTGATCCGGCTCTCTGCTGTGGCCTGGGAAACAGTAGAAAATGGCCTAAGTGCTTGGGCCCCTGCACCCACGTGGGAGACTGAAAGAAGCTCCTGGCTTTGGATCGGTGCAGCTCTGATTGTTGTGGCCATCTGGGGAGTGAACCAGCGGATGGAAGACCTCTCTCTCTCTATCTCTGTCTTTCAAATAAATAAATCTTTTTTTTTTTCTTTAAATGTTTTAGATTTTCTTTCTTTCTTTCTTTCTTTCTTTCTTTCTTTCTTTCTTTCTTTCTTTCTTTTTTTTTTTTTTTTTTATTTCTTGACAGGCAGAGTGGACAGTGAGAGAGAGAGACAGAGAGAAAGGTCTTCCTTTGCCATTGGTTCACCCTCCAATGGCCGCCGCGGCTGGCACGCCGCAGCCGGTGCACCATGCTGATCCGAAGGCAGGAGCCAGGTACTTCTCCTGGTCTCCCATGGGGTGCAGGGCCCAAGCACCTGGGCCATCCTCCACCGCACTCTCGGGCCACAGCAGGGAGCTGGCCTGGAAGAGGGGAACTGGGACAGAATCCGGCGCCCCGACTGGGACTTGAACCCGGTGTGCCGGTGCCGCAAGGCGGAGGATTAGCGTAGTGAGCTGTGGCGCCGGCTGCAAATAAATAAATCTTAAAAAAAAAAAAATGACCTAAGTGGGGTTTTCCATTTTTTAATTTTAGTGCGTCTATTGTGTATTTTCACACTGTTCCATATACGCGCACATGCATATATGTATGTCTAATGTATATAAAAACATCTCAGTGACCTAGAAGAAGAGCTTGACTGATCCTTTCTCTCTCTCTTTTTTTTTTTTTTTTAAAAAAAACAAGCCCTTTCTTTTTTTTTTTTAAACTTATTTATTTATTTGACAGGTAGATTACAGACAGTGAGAGAAACAGAAAGGTCTTCTTTCTGTTGGTTTACTCCACAAATGGCTGACACGGCCAGAGCTACGCCGATCCGAAGCTAGGAGCCAGGTGCTTCTTCCTGGTCTTCCATGTGGGGCCCAAGCACGTGGGCCATCCTCCTCCACTGCCTTCCCGGGCCACAGCAGAGAGCTGAACTGGAAGAGGAGCAACCGGGACTAGAACTCGGTGCCCATATGGGATGCCGGCGCCGCAGGTGGAGGATTAACCTAGTGCGCCACCGTGCCAGCGCCCCTTTTTCTCCTTTGCAGAAGTGATTAGAAAGTGCCTTGCTAGTCACCACAGTGGGAAAAGATCAGGAGTTACTATCACTAAAACAACAGCCCATGACTTTTCTACAGCAATTCACGAAAACCAGTGTTTTATAATCTCAGTGAAACAATTTTATTTCAGACATAGTCATTAAGCAACTTCCTGAGATAATATCACTTAAGTCATTATATCACGACTGGTAATGTAGTTATGTCTAATATAGTATTTTGAATTCTTTTTCTTCCAGGCCACAGACAATTAAAAGGCCTTTGAATCCTTTGGCTTCTGGTCAAGGTAGGTTGTTTATCTGCATCGTTGTATTGATCAGCCAGTGAACTTTGGCTGGAAAGAGGGGAAGGCAAGATAAATGCCAGGCGTGCTTGCAGTCACATAAGCCATGGTCTTGTTTCCAGGGAAGTTGTGCCTCACAGTGCAAAGATAGTTTTAAAATAGTTATACTTTAGTAGAGAGGATTTTTTTCATGATGAAGTACATGATATTAGAATGTTCTTGCTGAAGATTCACTTATATATTTATTCTTATATTCATTTTTGTAGACACACTACTCTCTGTGTAGTTTTTCAGTTTCTAGTCATCCTCCAGATAAATAGATATCCAAAAGGCTTCTCAGTTTTTTTCCTAAAACTTGAAGTTGCTGCATATATTGGGAGTCTGATTTCAAATTCACATGTCTTTATATAACAGTAACATCTTTCATTTTCTGCTTATGCTCGAGGTCCGGCCCGAATGCTGCCTTTTCCACTAAGCTTTCCTTCATTCTCCTAACCGGAAGTAATCTCTGCCATCTCGCCTCACGCAGTGGTCATGGGCCGTGTTTTGTTTCCCGCCTATGCCTTTTTCCACATGTAGCATTGTTTAATTACTATCTTTGTATCTGTTATCCTACCCTAGTACTTGGTCTCTATGGGCAGCCTTTATCTCTTTTTTTTAAAAAGATTTATTTATTTATTTGAAAGAGTTACACACAGAGATAAGGAGAGGCAGAGAGATAGAGAGATCTATCCGCTGGTTCACCCCCCAGTTAGCCGCAATGGCTGGAGCTGTGCCGATCCAAAGCCAAGAGCCGGGAGCTTCTTCCAGGTCTCCCATGCAGATGCAGGGGCCCAAGAACCTGGGCCATCTTCTACTGCTTTCCCAGGCCAAATCAGAGAGCTGGATTGGAAGTAGAGCAGTCAAGACTCAAACAGGCACCCATATGGGATATCGGCACTGCAGGTGGTGGCTTTACAAACCACTATGCCACAGCGCTGGCCCCAGCCTTTCTCTCTTAATAACCAGTCTGATATGTAATACATGAAGTGGTGTGTTAGACAAACAGTCAGAGTAAATTGCTCTCCTCCCTGGCTGGGCCTGTCTCCAATAGTGATAACTTGTTAATTCCAGAAACAAGTCACCATTTACTGTTGAGGTAGACACTGTGTAGGTACCAGATGGGTGCCGGTTCTAGTCCTGGCTGCTTCTCTTCCGATCCAGCTCTCTGCTATGGCCTGGGAAAGCAGTGGAGGATGGCCCAAGTCCTTGGGTCCCTGCACCCACATGGGAGACCCAGAAGAAGCTCCTGGCTCCTGGCTTCGGATCGGTGCAGCTCCGGCCATTGTGGCCATCTGGGGAGTGAACTAGCAGAAGGAAGAACTCTCTCTTTGTCTCTACCTGTCTCTAACTCTTTCAAATAAATAAAATAAATCTTAAAAAAAAATTTAGAACTCACAAACCCTGCCCGGTCCTCAGTAGGCAGAAGGATTTGTGAATAAATTGTTTCAGTGTATGATTTCAGACTCTGTCCTTTGAAAATATACATCCCTGTTTGTGAATATGTGCTTACTGATAAAATCTTTGATGGGCTTTCAGAACACCTGCAAGGTTTATATTCTTTAAAGTTCATTTAAAAGGGGATGATGTCATGTAGTCAATTAATATAAATTTCCTCTGGGAAAATGATGAGATTACACTATTCCCTAATTGCTGGCACATTTGTCTTTCTTAGATTAGGAAATACCTTTAAACCAAGCTTTTGGGTTTGTTCATAGTCAGATGTGGTGACTCAGTGGAAGCTGTTTGATTTGATATCAGAGCAAATGCAAATTTTTAGGCAAGAGGTGAACTCACATTATGACTTAGTAAATGAATTAACCACCCTCAGTTACCTTATAGATAAATGGGAACAATTTAAATGTTTATCATTAGGGAATGGGCCAAGTGACTTATGGTATAGTCAGTCACACAGTAGAATATAGCCATAGGAAATTGTGCTGCAAATCTGTATTCATTTAAAGCAAAAGTACATCCAGGAAAGGAAACAGGTATTAAAGCAACATGTATATTTTTTAAAAAACACAATTAATATAGTTTCTATATCTATAGAAATTTTATGTATCTATATATATATCTGTATCTAATATAATTTCTATATCTATAGAAATTTCTATATCTATACACAAAGAAAAAGGACTTTTACCAAAGCATAAATGTTGTTTATCTTTGGGCAGGAGAGGTAATGAATAGTTTTTAATTCTGTATGTGTCTTTTTTATTTTTAAACATATTTGCTGTAAGAATATATTAATTTGATAAAAAAGGCATTCAAGAAAAAGGGGCAAAATGAAGAGAATTTTTCAATAGTCATTAGGCAGCTGCACACAAACTGGCGCCTTCTGTGTAATTTAAAACTCACAAATAGTCTTTGAAAATATCGCTGACTCAGGGTAAAACTTAAATGTCAGTCTGGAGATTTCAAAGCAATAATGCAAATTTTTAACAAATTATATCACAGCTTTAGGATGAATAAATGTGGGAAAAGGCTCTGCCAGCTAAATAAGTCCTGAAATAGTTAGGAATCCTCTCGGTGACAGACTGGATTTTTCTCTCTCCTTGTCCACATTCGCTGTCACGTGGGCTGAACTCCTCTGTGTGCCTCCTTGTGGAGACAGTGCCGTTAACTTGAGTAGCGCTAATTGGTTAGCATCCCCAGACAGAGCTGCGGTCCCAGGCGTCCGACTCTGGCGTTTCATTTGTATGGATAAATAGATGGACCAAAACTAACCATTACGAAAAGCCTATTTTTATGAAAGTGTAGCATTATAAAATGGGCAGCTGGAAGGAGTTTATACTAATAAACTTTGTCGTTTTGCTTTTCAGGAAAAAGTAAAGGTAAGTGGAACTTCTGCATCATTATGTTACGTATATGAATGTGCTTACACTTTCACGCATTCATTATGGCCACGTTTATTTTCTCTTCCCACCTTTGAGACTCAGAAGAACTTCATTTTTATCTCTTGACCTGGAATTCTGGAAGTGAAGGCGTGGGCTGAGGAGGATGGCTGGGGCTGAGGGTGGGCGTTACAGAGAGCTGCTTCGGCCTCTGGCATCCAGCCTCATGCCTTTCCCACTCAGTGTGGCCACTGGGCTCATCCTGCCACCCCAGGCAAGGGAAATAGCTTCCCGGCTCCATTCCTGGTTGAATTCCAGGTCTACTAAGTTTCACACAGGAAGGGTTGGGGCATGATCAGAGTGCTGAGTCCAGAGTTGCTAACTCCTGGGTGTCGCTACCATTGGCAAGTCTAAGTTAATAGTGGTGCGAAAAATGTCAGCATTTTCTAGGTTTACCTAGCCTTTTTCGAGAGTCTTCTTGCTTCAAGGGTAAGATTAAAATGACTTTAGTTTTTCTTGAGACGATGTGGGTAACAATGGGAGTAGCCTTAGTTCATCCATTAAAAAACTGCTGTCCTCTGCAAGTCTGCACTTTGCTTTTCCTCACAATCCTCCATCTTCTGAAAATGGTAATAAGTATTAACAGATTTGCATATTTATTTGAAAGGCAGAGTGACAGAGACTGAGACAGAGAGATCTTCACTCAATAGGTTCACTCTGCACATGGCTGCAACAGGCAGGTCTGGGCCAATCCAAAGTGAGGAGGCAGTAGCTGCATCCAAGTCTCCCATGTGGGTGGCAGGGGCCCAAGCACTGGGGCCATCTTGAGCTGCTTTCCAGGCACTTTAGCAAGGAGCTGCATAGGAAACTGAGTATCTGGGACTTGAACTGGCACTCAGATATGGGATGCCAGTGTCACACGTGGCAGCTTATCCTGTGCATAGTGTGGGACCCCTCTGTTATTTTTATGAATTGCTTTTGTATGATGTCTGAATAACAGGATATTGGAGTCTGTTAAGATTGCTATCTTATTGGTGTACTTTATATTACAGTAATTGTAGTAGGTAAATGCTGATTCAGAACTGTATTGTTTGGGGCTGGCGCCGTGGTGCAGTAGGTTAATCCTTTGCTTGTGGTGCCGGCATCCCATATGGGCTCCAGTTCGAGTCCAATCCAGCTCCTCATCCAATCCAGCTCTCTGCTATGGCCTGAGAAAGCCATAGAAGATGCCCCAAGTGCTTGGGCCCCTGCACCTACATGGGAGAGCAGGAAGAAGCACCTGGCTCCTGGCTTTGGATTGGCACAGCTCCAGCCATTGCAGCCATTTGGAGAGTGAACCAACGGAAGGAAGACCTTTCTCTCTGTCTCTCCCTCTCAATTCTACCCTTAATTCTCCCTCTTAAATAAATAAATATTAAAAAAAGAACTGTATTGTTTGAAGACACATTGTTTAGCAGTAAGATTATTTTTTTTTTAAATTGATTTTATTTATTTGAAAGGCAAAATGACCGAGAAGGACAGACCTTTCATCTACTGGTTTACTTACTCCCCAGATGACCATAACAACCAGGGGTGGGCCTGGCCAAAGCCAGAAGTCTGGAACTCCATCCAGGTCTCCCATGTGGGTGCAGGGGCCCAAGCACTTGAGCCATCCTCCACTGCTTTCCCAGGCCATTAACATGGAGCTGGATCAGAAGTGGGGCAGCCAGAACTTGAATCTGTCTATACTGATATGGGATGCCAGCATTGTAGGCAATAGCTTAATTCATTAAGCCACAACCCTGCCCCAGTAACGTTATTTTTCCAAAGATGCCTCATATTTGTTACTGGTAGAGGCAGTCTCTTAACTTCTAGTTGTGAGTAACCTTATTCCATCTGGGGCATTGACCTAATTCTCTGCTGTAGCTGGATGAGAGGAGGCTGTCTTGTTTCATTGTCTTCTGAGGACGGCAGCCGGGCTCTTGTCAGCGGAGGAGAGGTCGGTAGCCTCTGTGGGTATCCTTAGAGGATCAGTCTGCTTTGTATGTGTTGATTTTGGCCAAATAGCAAAGGGCTATTCCTGACAGCTGTCATATTGGGTGAGTATTTGATGAGACCACAATCAGATCAAGTGGAGAATAGCTACTTGAAGATTATAAAACTGAACCGAAGACTTCATTGTCAGGCTGTTCCGAGCAGTGTGATCTCCCAGTGCCCCAATTCATGGTCAATAAATTGAAAAATCTTAAATTTTTTTTTAAATAAGGAAAGAAGTCACTTGGAATTCTACCACCCCCAAATAATTAATGTTGATAACTGTGTGTGCTAGCCGCTCTAAGCAGTTAATATGATTTTATTCAGTCCTTCCAGTAATCTGAGGAGGTAAGCATTGTTTTTATCCTCACGCTAACATGAGGAAAATGAGTCCCAGAGAGAGGCAGCACTTCACCAGAAACTTATGACTGAGATGCACAGCGCACAGGAGTTTATGTTCACAGCAGGCAGTTTTGTTCCAGGGACTGTGTTTGTTTGTTTGTTTGTTTAGATTATTTATTTGAGAGGTAGAATTACAGACAGAGGGACAGAGAGAGAGGTCTTCTATCGCTGGTTCTCCCTCCAGATGCCACAACGGCTGAGCTGGGCCTGATCCAAGTCAGGAGCCAGGAGCTTCTTCCAGGTTTCTCATCTGGGTGCAGGGGCCCAAGCACTTGGGCCATCTTCCACTGCTTTCCCAGGCCATAGCAGAGAGCTGGATTGGAAGTGGAGCAGCCAGGACTTGAACTGGCCCTATGCCACAACACCAGTCCCCGTGGCCTGTGCTGTTGGTTACCATCTCACACTGCTTGTGTGCAAATGTTTTGATGCCTGTTTCTGTCTACCTGTCTGTCTAATTTTGTCTAGCACTTTTCAGCATTATTATCCTATTTTCATCTTTACTAATTCGATAGGGAAAGGGCTATCTCTTCTGTCCTGATTTGCATTTTATAAGTAAGACTGAACAGTTTTTGTCTGTTATTACTATATTTTTTCCTTGTGAATTTTTCTCTATTCATGCTAATTGCTTTATTTTAATGGGTACTTTAAAATTTTAATTTGGTTTATAAGCTTTTTATATTTTTAGGGTTTTATCCCTTTGTCATGTCTGACTCTTGCCCAGCCCTGGCTCTTGTGGTATTTGGGGAATGAACCAGCAGATGAGAGAGCCCTCTCTCTTTCTCGCTCTGTGCTCTTTGTGTCTCACGGCCTCACAAATACATAAATAAAATTTAAAGCAGAAAACCAAAACGAGTTTATTTAGAAAATTGTGAGGCTGGGGCTGCCTAAGGCCATGCTGAGGCCTGAGCAACAGAGCGGGTCACAACTGTCCATACCAGCTGCTTCACTGCTTTCTTTGGAAAAGCTGCACGTAAGACCTGGGCCTCTAGGTTAGGCAGTCTGGAAACCATCGTTTGTCACAGATTCGCTGTAATGTGTTAAAACTTTTGAAAAACTTTTTGCATTGTTAAAACCTTGTGACTTAATTTTCTTTCAATTTCAGAGAATACTTTTTACAGTTGGCTAGAAGGTAATTGGAAATTTTTAAACACATTTATATGTTACTTTTTTTCAATTTAAAGATACTTGAAATTAATTTTATATTGAAAGATTCACACGGAATTTTATTTCCCAATCACTGCCTTTTTTTAGGCCTGTGTGTAGAAAAAAGAGCATTCTACAGACTGATATCTGGGCTACATGCAAGCATTAATGTGCATTTGAGTGCAAGGTATCTTCTACAAGGTATGTACCATTCACTTTCATTCATTTTATTCTATGCATTTTCATGTATTAACATGTTCTTGGAACTGACGTGCACTGGGAAAGAGCGCCCTGAGTGAGTGGTAGGCATTGAAAGTGCAGTGATGAGAGTGAGCACCCGAGGTACAACGCATGAAGGGTTCAGCACATTCTCAGCTGCCTCCACCTTCTTACAAAGCACTGCTCAAAGCCGTACACATCACTTTGGGAATTTTCTGCTCTTTCGTTGTGGGCATTAACAGAACTCGTAGGAGCGCAGAATGCTACCTGTCAGCGGTGTTCTCGCAGAACCCGTGTGTAGTCTGCCTGCCGGCCGCAGGCCTGGAGCTCTGCTGGGGGAGGCGTTTCCTGCTCTCTGGGCTCCGGGGGCGCTGTGGCACAGTCAGACCAGGGCTGATCCTCATCAGTAACATGTCTTCTGGAATTACTGTCTCCTTGTCTTAGACACAGAACACAGGAACTCTGATCTCCGCCAGCATTTCAAACTCAGTGATTTCAGATACTCAGTTTTAAATTGTGTGTTTAGGTTTTATGAATGTTGATGTTCAGGAATTTGATTTTTAGGAAAACCTGCTTTCTCAGTAAAACACTGAATTTGTTTTACTTTAGTGCTGTGTTCTAGAAAGTAAAGCAATTAGAATAGAACTATTTAAGGCTACGTGATGAAAATCATTTTTACAGTTTTAAAATAACACATGAATGTAACCTCTACAGACATAAGTAACCCAATATAATTAAAATGACAATTAATTCTAAAGTTGAGTTTTTAAAATTTAATTCTTTTTTCCTCCCAGATACCTGGTTGGAAAAGAAATGGGGACACAACATTACAGAATTTCAGCAGCGATTTGATGGGGTTTTGACCGAGGGAGAAGGCCCGAGAAGGCTGAAGAACCTGTATTTTCTCTACTTGATAGAATTAAGGGCTCTGTCTAAAGTGCTGCCTTTCTTCGAGCGCCCGGATTTTCAACTTTTCACCGGAAATAAAATTCAGGATGCAGAAAACAAAAAATTACTTCTGGAAATCCTTCATGAAATCAAGTAAATTATCAGATGTAACAACTTACTAGATTCTGAAATAGTTATTTAGAGAAAAGAGAGCTAGTTAGAAAATAATTAAAAGCCCATTTTTGCTCCGAGGTCTTTTAGAATGGAAATTTGTGTTTTGACCCAAGGTACTAAAAGGCACACAGCTTTTTTTTTTTTTTTGACAGGCAGAGTGGACAGTGAGAGAGAGAGACAGAAAGAAAGGTCTTCCTTTGCCGTTGGTTCAGCGCGCTGCGCTGATCCAAAGCCAGGAGCCATGTGCTTCCCCCTGGTCTCCCATGCGGGTGTAGGGCCCAAGGACTTGGGCCATCCTCCACTGCACTCCCTGGCCACAGCAGAGAGCTGGACTGGAAGAGGGGCAACCGGGACAGAATCTGGCGCCCCAACCGGGACTAGAACCCAGGGTGCTGGCGCTGCAGGTGGAGGATTAGCCTTCTGAGCCACGGTGCTGGCCACAGCTTTGGTTTTAAGAGCCAATACTTTATTATTTGATACGTGCATGGTTCTCATGGAACACAGGATACCTCAGAAAGCTTGTGCAAAGTGCACATTCCAGTTCATTTTCCGTTCGTTTTTGAAGTACCCTCTTACTGTGTTGTACAGTCAGCATTTATAATTAAGGACAAGGATTGTTTTGGGGCATTGGAGTGTTGATTTTATTATATTTCAGGAACCACTCTATTACCTATTCTAAATATATTTAATACATGAAAGTACTGAATTAGCAGCACTTTTAATATTTGTGATACAAGAAAATGAGTATTCTGTTTTCAAATGCAGGTCATTTCCTTTGCATTTTGATGAGAATTCCTTTTTTGCTGGGGATAAAAAAGAAGCTCACAAACTAAAGGTAAGTGTTTCACACCTGAGCCTCCCCGCGAGGCACAGAGTTGTGACCACCGCCACAGGTGTGAATGTGAAGCTGTGTGTAGAGTGCTGGTCACCAGGGCTGGGCTCGGGGCCTGTTGCTCAGAGGGTGCCGAGCTTCAGCTGAGAGCGTGAATGAACCTTAGTGATGAGCTGCCCAGAGCGGTGACTGTAAGAAGTCATCACATGGGGCTGGCACTGTGGCGCAGTGGGTTAAACCACTGCCTGTGACCCCAGCATCCCATATGGGTGCTGGTTCGAGTCCCGGCTGCTCTACTTTCTATGCAGCTCTCTGCTAATGCGCCTGGAAAAGCAGTGGAAGATGATCCCTGCACCCACATGGGAGACCCTGAGGAAGCTCCTCCCTGGCTCCTGGCTTCGGCCTGGCCTAGCCGCAGCCATTGCAGCCATCTGGGGAGTGAATCACAGGATGGAAGATCTCTCTCAATCTCTCCTTCTTTCTCTAACACTGCCTTTCAAATAAGTGAAATGTTTAAAAAAAAAAAAAAAAAGAAATCCTCATGCATCGGATATTTCAAAATTGCTGAATGAGTAGGTTTTAAATGTTTTCACCACAAACCAGTAAGTACATAAGGTAATGGGTTTCTCAGTGAGCCTGATTGGACCTTATACCTTTTATTTTGTTTCTTTTTTAAAAAGATTTATTTATTTATTTGAAAGTCAGAGTTACTTAGAGAAGGAGAGGCAGAGAGAGAGAGAGAGGTCTTCCATCTGCTGCCTCATTCCCCAAATGGCCACAATGGCTGGAGCTGCACTCATCCGAAGCCAGGAGCTTCCTCCAGGTCTCCCACGCAGGTTCAGGGGCCCAAGGACTTGGGCCATCTTCTACTGCTTTCCCAGGCCATAGCAGAGAGCTGGATCGGAAGTGGAACAGCCGGGTCCCGAACCAGCGCCTATATGGGATGCCGGCACCTCAGGCCAGGACTTTACCCTCTATGCCACAGCATCGGCCCCTGAACCTTCTGCCTTTTAAACATATATCAAAACATCACATTGCACACCATCAGCAAATGTAATTGTTATTTTTCAATTAAAATGAATAAAACTGTATGCATAGCAGTCACTCTTGATATGGATCCTAAAATTAAAAGCAAAATGAAAATCATTCTTTTCCTCAAAAAAAAACCACAGTCGAAAGGCAGGCCTGTTACGATGCTGTTTGCACTGTGTGTAACAGTGCTGGTGGGCACACTTCAGATGGCTCTCACAGGTAATTAACAGAGGTGCTAAACTAAGGGGGCGGGCTTTAGGGCATGAGTGACCGTAGAGTCTGTCTCTTGCTAAAGAGGATTCTGGAAGTGACATGGGTCTTTAGGGGCCCAAGGTACAGTGTGGTGCTTTGTCATTCCTGTGATTACCTGGGAATTAAAGGCAAGGAGGAATGCCAGCCTATGGTCCTGGAGAGAACAGACCTGGAACCCCGTAAGGTGGGGTCTGCTCATCACCTTGTCTCTTCTTAAGGGGCATGCTGTAGACGAGTCCACCTCGGAGCGTGTACGTTGGTCTCCACACCATGTAAGTGTGAGGTGTTACCAGGAAGATTTAGAAAACACTTCTCCTCCCTTGAGGGATCTCCAGTGTCTGGGGGAGTCAAGGAAGATGGCGTCACTCTTCTCTGCACCATAGCCATTGGACAGCGAAGGCAGGTGGCCTCAGGATCAGCAGGCTGTAACAGTCCTCCTGCGTTTGCTATGCTTGCTTTCCACAATGAGAGAATCTGATTTTATGCAACTTGTAAACAAATTTTTTTTAAAAAAATTATTTTCATTTTGTTTAAAAAAGAGACAAAGAGCTTCCATCCACTGGTTCCTGCTTCAAAGGCTGAAGCAGCTTGGGCGAGGCAGGCTAAAGCCAGGAGCAGGGAGCTCACTCTGGGACTCCCTTGGGGGTGGTAGGGCCAGGTACTTGAGCCATCACCTGCTGCTCCCCGGGTGTGCATTAACAGGAAGCTGGAGTTGGAAGCAGAGCTGGGACTTGAACCCAGATGCCCCCAGCTGCTGTTTCTTGCGTTTGGTTTTTGCTGTTAGAGAATAGTTATTTTTGACCTCCCATCTACCTCCTACTTAAAGCATTCTTGCTACAAAAACATACCGCAGTGCTTATATAAGCTCCGAACAACTTCCAGGAACTTGGAAATGAGGGGGAGGATGTTTCAATCAGACTTCTTTTTCCTACTATTTTCAGTATGTTTCTTATTTTTAGTTCCCCCGCCAGTTTATTGGAGAATGTTTTGGCATAGGCTCTTTTTAGATTGTGCAAATTAGAAATATTTCTTACAGTGTTTTAATTTGATCAAAACTCTGCAATACTCAGCTTTGAGATCTTTATTTAGAGACTTCTTATTTAACAGCATTTTTTTCTGAGTCTTTTATAGGAAAGAAGTGAAAAACAAAAAAGCATGTTAATAATAGAGTTTTTTAAAATAATTTCTGGTAAACATCATGGATTTGAAAAGTCATAAATTCATTTAAAAAAGCTTACATTGTGTTCTTTGGACTCTATCATTGTATAGTTAGAAATAGAAGACCTACAATTCAGGGGTGGGGGACCTTTTTCTGCCAAGGGCCATTTGGATATTGATGACATCATTTGTGGACCATACAAAATTATCAACTGAAAAATTAGCCTGATGTAGATGTATTGAATTTTGAGTGCCCCCTGCAGTTGCCATGGCAGGGCCAGAGCAAATGATTTCACGGGCCTTACATGACCTGGGGGCCAGATGTTCCCCGCCTCTGATACATGAAAAATAATTACTTAGGGTTCAATTCAAAATATGAAGGCTTATAAAACATTTGAGAATTTGGGCAAGACTTAATCGGTTTCACTGACTATAAATCACAGCATATCCGCACAGCACGTCTGAGCATTCTGCCGCCTGATGTAGCTTAAAGTGAAGACACAAAGCTGTCTGCCTAAACAAGGAGAATTTGTACAAGATTTAGGTTCTGGTTATTTTCAGGATCAAATTTTTCTGGTCTGAGACAGTTTTGGGATATACTCAGGTTACTGGGCATGGTTATTTATGGAAGTCACAGGGGTTATTTTCCTGTTCTATTTTCTAGCCTGTTAATTTGGTGCTAGCATATTAAGTTCACTTATGCAGAAAATCCATGCTATTTTCTATGCTTGGTTTTAATTTTATGATGTTTATATGGCCATTGTAAACAACACCCTTGCTCACTGTGCATGCCATATGAATACTTAGTCAAGAGCTGCCACATTCAAGCGTTTGAATAAACATGGATTCAAATACAGAATTTGGACCATATCTATACAAGCAAATATAATCTTGTACAGAAGTGCTACAATTTTTTTAAGGTTTTTTTTTGTTTGTTTGTTTGTTTTTTTTTTTTTTTTTTTTTTTTTTTTTTTTTTTTTTTTTTATTTCAAAGGCAGAGTAACAGAGAGAGGAGAAGAAAGAAATAGAGCGTGCTTCCATATACTGGTTCACTCCCCAAATGGCTACAATGGTCGGGACTGGGCCAGGCCGAAGCCGGGAGCCCAGGGCTTCCTCCAGGTCTCCCAGCTGGGTGAAGAGCCCAAGCACTTGGGCCGTCTTCCACTGCTTTCCCAGACCATTAGGGAGCTAGATTGGAAGTGGAGTAGCTATGGAAGTGGAGTAGCTAGGACTTGAACCTGCACCCATATAGGATTCTGGCATTGCAGGCTGTGGCTTAAGTCACCAAGCCACAGTCTTAGCCCCTGTATACTACTATTTGATGAGCTGGTTGCATGTTACTTTATTATATTTAAACAATATAATACACTAATGTTTATGAATATATACATAGATATTTAAAAATATAGAAACGAAAAGGGAAAAATAAACATCAAATTCAGCATAGTGATGGTGGGATTTAACACTTTGAGAAGATAAATAGGGGACTTTAATTGTACTTGTAATTGTTCCCTATTTTTTTGTGTGTATATATATGTATATATATATAGGTATTTTTTCAAAGATCTATTTCAGTATTTGAAAGGCAGAGTGACAGAGAGGGAGAGACACAGAAAAGGAGATCTTTGATCTGTTGATTCACTCCCCAAATGACAACAGCCAGGGGTGGACCAAATTGAAGCCAGGAGCCAGGATCTGCAACCCCGCCTGCTACATGGGTGTCAGGGATCCAGGCACTTACACTTGAGCCGTCTTCTGCTGCCTTGCCACACACCTTAACAGGAAGCTGGCTTAGAAGCAGAGGAACCAGGACGTGTGCTGGCACTCTGATACGAGATGTTGGCCTCCCAGGCAGAGGCTTAACTCTCTGTGCCTCAACACCTGTCTCATATTTTGTATATTTTATATGTAAATAATAATGTTAATACCAGGAAGTGAGTTTGCAGCTGAACTGTCATGAAACTGGTGTTTCTTCCCTCTCCGTCCCTTTCCTGCCTTTTTGTGGTAAACGATGCCCTCGAGTCCTGGCCTCCCCTCACCCGTCCCCGACACATGGTTAATCATCACATGCAGCAGGACTCCACAATTAAGTTACCTGTGTGTATTTCTAAAAAATGTCTTTATTTGAAAGGCAGAGAGAGAAAATGTGAGAAAATGCCCATTGGTTGATTCACTCCCCAGATGCCTGCAGTGGTGGGGAGAGGAGTGGTGCTAGACTGGAGCCAGGAACAAAAATCCATGTTTCCCATCTGGGTAGAAAGAAACCAGCAACTTGGCCATCGCCACGGCTGCCTAGAGTTCACATTAGCAGTGCGCTGGAGTCAGGAGCTTTTGCTGGGAAGTGAACTCAGGTCCTCTGATGCGGGATCTTAATCCCTAGGTGAAATAAATACCCACACTCCCTACCTTTGCACATAGTTCAGGCGGTTTAGCTTTGTAGTGCGGCAGGCCTATGTTCTGTTTGCTGTTGACTAGATGTTGAAACTTAGGCAAGTTACCTAACCTTTTTGAATCCTGTATTTTTAATTTGTTCGATGTTTATTATAATCATGCATATTTCTGGATTTGCAGAGTAGATTGAGATTGTCTGTGTAAAGGTCCCATATGCGGGAGGCGCTGGTGACAGCTCGCTCGCTCTCTGGTTTTGCACCCCGTAGTACCTTGCACAGCATGAGGCATGTGGAGAGGACTGGAGAGAGAACACTGGTTGACTAAATACTTCATCTTAATAAAATCTGTTAAATTGTTTTTAGGAGGACTTTCGACTACACTTTAGAAATATCTCAAGAATCATGGATTGCGTTGGTTGTTTTAAATGTCGACTCTGGGGAAAGCTTCAGGTAAGCAAATCTAGCCCAGTCTCATGTCCTATTTTATCCTTTGTCTGAAGAATTTTCTTATTTTTCCTTTTTTTTATTTCTCTTATAGACTCAGGGTTTGGGTACTGCTCTGAAGATCTTGTTTTCCGAAAAATTGATAGCAAATATGCCAGAAAGTGGACCCAGTTATGAATTCCAGCTAACCAGACAAGAAATAGTATCATTATTTAATGCATTTGGAAGGTAAGTTTGCACTAAAATTGATTTTGCTAGTCAGGTGAGTCTAATGTAACACATATGCTCTCCGGGGAAACTGGGTAAGGAGTATCTTCACTGAAATTATTTCATTCCAGAGTCTTGTGACCTGATAAAATGCTTCTGGTGTGTAGACGTACACTGTCATTTGCTGATATTCTTTATTTTCATTTATTGACTTTTATAATTATTGGTTTAATTATTATATTTCAGTAGTCATCTTACTGAGTTTGTACATTTATGCAGATTTAAAATGTGTATTTCAATATTTAGATACTTTATACTTATGTACTTTAATATTGCACTTATGAACATATTTATTGATCAAGTTTAGCCTAAATATTCTAACACAAATATATATATACTATTTTCTACTAGATATTTATGTACTTTAATGTCTCATAGCAAGTAAGTGAATATACTTATGAATACTTAAGAGTACAGGAGTATTTTAATAGTTAGGTTCTTCATACTTACATATTTTAATTCTTTAATACCAGAAGAACTAACTTGTGAACAGTGTTATCATAGCTTTATCATGTTGAACAATAAAACCACATCAAGGCAGATTAAATGGTTTAGGTACCTTTAAATTTGCTGAAATTTAAAAAACTTAAAAAAGTTTCTATGGTCTAAAAATGCAAAATAAGTAACTTTTAGAGAAAATTCCTCTAAGATGGCTTCTGAGTGAAATCTTTTGTTTGGTTACAGAATTTCTACGAGTGTGAAAGAATTAGAAAACTTCAGGAACTTGTTACAAAATATTCATTAAAGAAAATAAGATGAAATGTGCCTGTTTCTGGACAGTGGAGGCCAAAGAGTGGGATTTCATTCAGAGGCGTAACAGAAGCGACAGTCTCAAGCCAAACATTTTATATAAAGCTGCTTTTGTAAAAGGAGAATTCTATTAAGTAAACAGTTTGTTTTTTAAAATTGTGCTAAGTCTATGTATTATATTGTGAGTAAAAGTTAACTTTGATAATGTGGTACAAATTTTCAAGTTTAATAGCGGATAAAAGCAGGATTATCAAGTGCACATAAGATAAAACCAAGTAAATTATGTTTTAAGTCTTTCAAACTGAAGTTTTGTGTAAGAAAACATAATATAAAAGTGTGGCAGATGTGACCAGCCTTCAATAGGAAAGGAAATACACAGACGGCTCGAGCTGGGAGGGACTCCCCATTAACCACCCAGGGCGTTTCAGTACACTCAGTTGCCAGGTTGTGCAAATAAAAATACAGAATATCCAGTTAGATTTGAATTTCAGAAAAACTAGCTTTTTTAAAAAAGCGTGTTGCATGCAATATTTCAAGCTTATTTATACTAAAATTTATTCATTGTTTGAAATTCAGATTTAACTGAAAGTCCTATGTTTCATCTGGCAACCTGAAAATGTATTGGTATAAAAAATGTCACTTTTAGGATTCTACTGCTACTTATTTTGGGTTGTTTTGGTGGTAGAAAGGTACAGTGATCACAGGAGATTTCTAAAGTTGTGAAAAATTAACAGATTATATATTCTCAAGATGCTGACCCTAATCCTGAATACAATTTTGAGGAGACTTTATTTTTATATAATTTCAAATTTACAGAAATATTTCAACAACAGGACAAATAACTTTTGCCGACAGTCAGCAAGTTTGCTTTATCCATTCTGCTCTTTGGATTTATATACACACATACCATTTTTCCCTCAGTCATTTAGAAGTCTGTTCCAGGATCATGCCCCTTTAACCATAAAACCTTCAGTGTATAAAAGTGAGTAATTTTCTAGAAATGATTTTCTCAGAAAAAAAAAACTTACAATAAGCCTTAGAATAAAGAATCGTGTCAAGCTCCAACCTAAAGTTCTTGCGTTTTGTCGCTGTCTTTATGCTTGATCTGACACAGTGATGATTTTAGTTTTTTATACACAAAGCTCATTTTCCTTGCCTCCCTAAAGCTGCACTGTAACTCTGGGAGGTTTTCATCAATGAAAACTCTTTATTGATAAAAATATTTGAAGAGGTTTAGGAATTAATATCACAAGTGATTGTAAGGAAAAAGAAACTGTATACCTCAAACTCAGTGTGCCCTCTGTGTGTGTGTCTTAGCAGGTGTGACACACTGAAATGTCCCCTCGTTAGTAAAGCAGGGCTTGTGGATGTAATGTGTGCAAGTGTCAGTGTACACTTCTGTATACTTCTCTGTGTCCCTCGTGGCCAGGATCCAGTACATCTTTGTTGGCCGTGAGTGATGGACATGCATTCAGTGTACTTGAAGGGAATCATCAAAGGGCCTGTTTAACAGTGGGTGTCCTCTTTTCCTTTCCCCCTCATTTGCTCTTGAGTAGGGCAGGAAAAAAAAATAAAAGACATGAACTCACTAATTTAAACCAGTCGTCCTGGAGACTCAGAGGACTTGACGTGATGGCCTTCTCTGAAAGTTTAAGGATGCTTTCTGGATTCTGAAATACGGAAGATGGATGTAGATGGCAACATTATGCAGATACCTCGCTCACTCTCATTTTATGCCATCCTCTCTCTCTCTCTTTTTTTAAATAGCCAATCATTTTGAAAGAATATGCCTTTCACTTTGTCACCTCCCGCTTGCTCCATAACTAAAATCTGGTATTTAAAGGTTTTCCCATCACCTTTCTGTTACATCGTTGTCTTACCATCTCCATTGCTGTTCCGGGAAGTGCTACACAGACCTGTCTACTTAGAACCAGCCTATCTCCCTGCTGCCATTGCACGGTATTACCAGAAGCCCTCTGAAAACATGACTCCCTCCTTAACACCGCTCTGTGACCTCCTGAACTTTCAGGAGAAAGCCAGACTCCTTTGCTTCCTGTACAAATTCTTCTCAAATGTCTTCCCCATCCAGTGTTCTGAGAAAACAGGCTTAAGAGTTCTCCAGTGCCCCCAGATGGTCAGGCCTCACACCTCGGTGAATGCGGATTCTTTGCATCAAGTGCCGTAACCATGTTGCTGCCAGGAAAATTCCAGACATGCTTGCAAGCCCAGCGGAAACATCTCCACCGTGAAATCGTACCTTCCTCTTCTCCGTCACCACTGTAATTACAGCCTACCTCTACTGTATCACTTACTGTACTGTATTTGTGTTTCAAAGTCTCCTTTACTAGAATGTGAGCTCCTTAAGGGCAGGAAAAGGAACTGTTCACCTGGGCATCTCCATGGGACAGCTGTTGGTATATGGACATTTAATAAATGTTTGTTAAATAAACTGTGTGTAAAGTGACAATTTTATTACATTAAAGCTGCTACCTTCACTCTGTCCACTTCACAGCAAGGAGCAGTAGGCTCCCAAGGAGTTGAACTGCATTCAGGATGTGGCGTGGTCATGAAAGACCGAAAACTTCCAAGGGAAGAGGCAGCATTGTTGAGGAATTTCTTGAATAGACAAAGCACAGCTGGGATTAGGGCTGAATAAATGGATTCCTATTTAAGATTCTAAGGGGAAGAGAAGAGGTTATAAATGATTTCATATGAGGATTTTTCTTAGCTTAATGTCTATATAAGGATTGACTATATAATCACATTGGTATTTTAAAGTAAAATGTATAGTACTTTTTATCAACTTGGTATATAGTACTAAGTGATAAGACATTCTGATGCAATTATAATACTAAAGGCAAATTCATTTGCAACTCCTGTTTTTTTTTTCCTTTGGTAGCACTAGGGTTTTTATCCTTATGTGACAGAAACTTAGGGTGGTCCATTAAGAGAATAAGAAAACCAGACCTCCAAATAAAAGCACAAACACTTTTATTTTTAACAGTATTGGTGTGTTTTTTTTTTTTGTTACAACTTAGTGAAACAACAAATAAATACATTCATTGGCCACAGCTATACTTTTACAGCCAGTCGGAAACTGGTTAGATAGCTGAGAAACACTGTTAAACAATAAAAAAAGCAGCTATGCATAAAAAAGCCATTTTTGCTATAAATTACATCTTCCATAAAATTACAGCCAACTACAGTGAGTGGTAAAAGTTTCAAAATTAATGACCACTCAAATGAAACGATAAAAACAAATACTGCTAACCACTGTAGAATTACACACTAGGCAATGGAAATCACTCTTCTCATCAGTGAACAACAAAAAGGGAGGTTTGAAATTGTCGTCATGTGCTTCAGTGCAAGGTGAACAGGGAATTGGTAGCCCTTTAATTTTATCAACAACTACTTCTTTCGAGACCAAACTTAAAGTGCTCCCAGTGCGTTGGAATTTTTAAGCAAAACGTGGGCCAGAGTTAACCTTTCTTTTACACGGTGTGAAATGGGTGAAAGTAGACAAATCCAAGAATTTAGGTACCCTAGTTAGTGATAAGAATTAACTTGCAAATCTCAAATTTGGTACAATCAACTAATGCTGCTGAAGGAACCAAATTTTCTTTGAAAAAAAATTTAAAGTACTCTTCGTTTAATCTCGTCAAACAAGATCATCATCTCTGGAAGCCTTACTCGAAAAATTTTATTTTATCACACTGAACCCCAAGGATTAACAAACACAGCACAGATCTTTGCTAGCTCTTGGTAATTACATACTTCACATGAATAGCAAAACAAACTGGGCATTCTGCAAAGAAACCTAGGAACTGAAGTCACAGTGGAAACACAATGTTACGTTGTCCATAGTAATGCTATAAATTTTAAAATAATTTGGTTATAATGAGAGAATTTATAAACAAATGCAAAGTAACACTTGTAAGTATGCTTCTGATTGAATTTACAGTCATTAGCATTAAAAGAAGAAATTTATTTGGCTGTGGCCCAGCCTCCTGAAAGATAGAAAGCTTTAAACAATTTCATTTTTTCCTTAGGGTTTCACTGTTAACACTTTTGTGGCGTTACCGCATCAGGTATGAAAAAGTTCAAAGATATCTTAAGTAAAACAACTTTTTAATGAAAGTAGAAGACAGAACAGTTGTACTAATTCCAGTTCTGAAGAAACAGATGAGCACACAATTGTGCATAATTAGTTGTCCTTAAGCAAGTTGTGACAACTTCCCAATGTTGCCTGTTCCCTTGGCATCTTGAGGTATTCAGCATCTACTTTTCAGATAGACACTAGTAGAAAGTGCATTTAAAAATTCTGTGTTATCTATATTTACCAAATATAAATTCTTCAGAATTGGGGTAGGATATTCACGTCAGTTTTAATTTTTAAAGTACTCCAATATTGTTAGCCTCTATACCTACCTAGTTCATACATTTACCAAAGTTTGCTGCTTATTCAGTCTAGTGCTGGGATTAATTTGAATTCAATTTAATTTGGTTTTGCCCATTTACAAAGTATAAAAATGTGAAAATTAAAGGAGGAATTGTGTGTCTTACAAAGTATTGCACTTGAGTTCACGGCAATAGCGTATCATGGTTTAATTTACCTGAGGACAATCCTGATTTCAGTGAGATCAGTTAGATCTTGCTTCAAATAAATTGAATGCTTTTGAAAATGTATTCACGTTTTAACTTGACTTCACATTTTATAAATCTCAAATGCATCTGTAAACTTGTTTAGTCCCAAGAAGTTTCTAGTAAAACCTTCCTATGCAAAGATCTCTATTGCTTTCTTGAAGAATCATGCTTCAATTACCACATACATCTCAATCATACAAAATAATCACTTGAGTGCTTCTAATCAAAGGAGCCACATAATTTTCACAGGTATGTTTTGCTCTTGAAGAAACTGCCATGGCTTTCCCAAGAATTCTGCTGGTCATCACTGTGAAGAATGACTACTGTAATTTGTTTAAAGTGATTGTTTGAATAATTTAAATTGGTATATTAAAATCATGCTTAAGAGAACTGTCTTCAATGATTACATTATTTTAGATTTTTAAAAATAATAACATTTTTATGTCTTCATTCTGTGCACTGTTCACACTATAAAACTGTAATGGGGTAAGAATTCCACACAAAGAACAACCAATGAATACACAGGCTTTGATTTACGTAGGAAAGCTGCCTTCCAGATTGGTGTACAGTAAAGTTCCAGGGCAGACACTGGAGTACGACTTTGGGGACTGCAGTGTATACTCTTCCAGATCAAAGGTCAAAGTGCAAATATGCAAGTATGCGTGTGATGTTCCAAAGTCAAGGGTTTGGAGGCCATCAAGTGCCTTGAGATCTCATCTCTCTTCTACTCCAGTCTTTCCATTTTATTTCACGTTACTGTGCAGAGATCAAAAGTAGTAGTTGTGGTCTCCACCAGACTCAGCCACATTTCCAGATTTTGTCTTCAGTTGCAACAAATAATGGAATGTTTACATAGATGGAATTTAAACATGTCGAATATACACATTTATGAAAAACAATTCAAGAATCACAACTTGATAATGCTGTCAGTTCTGTGGTGTTACATATAAGCTATGGTGATTGTTCATATCTAGATTACTACAAGTAAAGAGCAAAGGAGCAGTATCTGTCATAGGTCCATTCAGGTGGGGGGTGACTGTGTAACTGCTGCTGCCACACCCAGTCATGGTGCCGTACCAGCCCAAACTTTGCGAATTTGATAAGCTGCAACAACAACAAAAAAGGGCAAAGAAGCCATAGGACTGCAGTCAGAATACAAGAAGCCATACTGACATTTCTGAAAATCTTTCAGCGAATTTAAAACTACAGTTAATGTCAAATATATTGAAATACGTTCTTTACCAAATAACGAATTTCTACACAACTAAATGGTTTTTCCAATATCCTTGAGCCTGCACCACATATTACATAAAGATGAGTAAATGCCAATTGGTAGAATTTACCATGTAGTAAGAAGATAGTGATTACTGCATGCTAGGCTGTATTCTAAGATACGTGTCTATGTATATACACATACCAATTAATCTTCACAACAATCCAGTGAAAAAGGTTCTGTTATTCCTATTTTGTTTTTCAGACCAGCTTTTCTTTTTATCATCCCCATTTTAGAGATGAACAACTAGCTCCAAAAAAGGTTAAGTGACTTGTCCAGGGAAAGTTAGGGTTACAGAAAATGTAGTGTCAAGATGAAAGAATCACACAGGTGTGCATTAAGGTTTTCTCTTTGTCCTGACAAGTAGCTGACAATACACCAGGTAATTAGCTGCGGTGGTTTTGGAACAAGGAGGGCCTGGCATTTCCTACGGCATCTAAGGTTCCTAAGAGTTTGCTCAAGGTTTTCTCTGTGGATGCGGAATAGCTCTAAGGGTAAGGGCACATATACATAATCACGTGACAGTATTCTTTCCCTGCTGTTCCCCCTCCCCTCTGAACCAACATAGGATCCTCTAACGACGTGATACCATTTTACCTTCAAAAGGCATTTCTTGTAGCAAAATACTCTACCGACTTTGAGTCAGATGGCAGGTCCCACTGTGGGTTTAACATCTACAATGTGAAGCTCCTATATCATATGATCTTATTTAAAGACATATCACCAAATCACTCTCTTCATATTTTGGTGAAAGCTTACCTTTGTTCACAATCTATTTCAGTGCTAATTCAGTCACTTCTGTTATATTTACCTTCCTTCTCTTGAACTTCCCAGTCTTGGCAAGTCATCGTCACTGTCATATCGTCTTGGATTGTCAAAAAAGTAAGCTCTGGAACTGTAACTGTGACTGTTTATCATGCCAGCAGGTGCCTGTGAACACAGCATTACATAGCATATCAGGGTCTATGTTTCATACAAGAGAGCTGGCTAAACTCTGTAATGATAAAAATCATTAGTCTTAAACTTGGTCAAAAATAGGAAATTAATGTAAATGTCCCACTATTGTTTTCAAAAACAAGGAGAAGCAGCATGGGGAATATGATATCATACCAAATTCTGGTTCAGTCTCTGTGCACGGAAAAAGAGTACCACCGCCCATGCTGGCACATGTTCCCACAAGAAGAGGACCATGCCGAACGCTATGTACTCTTCTCCACTTATGTCGTCTACATGAGCCTGTAAATATAATATGGCAGAGACATTTATATGTCTGTATTACGTACAAGAAATTACCATCCAAAATTAACTTGTTTAACTGAGTACATTAGAGTATCAACTACAGGTATATAAACTCTAAAATTTTCTGTTTTGTCATTTCTCTTATAATGATACTTATCCATTAAGGGACATAAAGACACTTTGATGTTAAGAAGAATAGAAAGCTGCTAACTTCTTCAATGCATCAGTTTATGGAGATAATTTTAATATTTGGGTAACACAGAATGATCTCACGTGTGGGCCCATAGTCTGTAGAGAGTTACTTATATACTAACTACTATTGTTCCAGTGCTTCATAGGCGAAACAGTACTTACCCAGAGTTATACCTGTAAAGAAATGTGACCTGTTAAATCACTCAGCTCAACTGCCACTTAAAGTATGCTTTTGGGCCTAGCTTACATGATGAATTTGTTTCTATTCTATCAGATCTTGGGAGCAGGAAATGGGAGAAGCAGTGAAGAAAATCAGCCACATGGAACCATGCATGAAAATTCCTTCTTAGAACAGTAAATGAGAAATGGCATTCCAGGATGCCTTGCATTCAGTGCAAAGTTAAATTAATATAAAGACATGACACAGAGTACTGAAGATTACTGTAGCAAATATCTGGGCAGCCAAGTAACCATGAAGACTGATAACAGTGAAGCTGGCATTGGCCTGTGATGGTAGCATCTCACATGAGTGCCAGTTGGGGCACTGGCTGCTTCACTTCCAGTCCAGCTCCCTACAAATGTACCTGACAAAGGATTGGAACATGGCCCAAGTGCTTGTGCCCCTGTCACCCATATGGGAGACCCAGATGGAGCTCCAGGCTCCTGGCTGCAGTCTGGCTCAACCCTGGCAGTGCAGCTATTTGAGGAATGAACCAGTCTGTGGAAGATCCCTCTCTGTACATCTGCCTTTCAATAAATGCTAAAAATAAAAGACTGGTAATGTCAGTGAAACAAGGAACATCATTATTCAAATATCTAGAGCTAAAAAAATACTAAAACTAAACACAGTTCTTGGTTAGGGGAAATTAATTTCTTCCTAACAATTTAAAGACAGACCCCAATTCACTGGCTAATAATAGGAAGCTAATTCACCTGTAGACATTTAAACACTATCCTTGAAAAATTAGTAAAACAGTTATACGATCAATAGGTTTATGACATTATTTACCAAAACAAGGAATGCCTTTGGGAGAAGTTCTCTCTGAAGAGTGATTTCAAGTGACACATGCAAATGAAGATTTTTACATAAATTTTTGTTGTTTAGATTTCTTTCTGTAAAGCAGTTTTTTGTTTTTTTTTTTTTAATTTGAGGGGCAAAGAGACAGATAGAGAGGAACACACAGAGAGAGGAGAGAGAAGAGAGTGAGCGCATTCCATTCCTCTAGTTCACTTCCCTGTGCCTGCCATGGGCCGGGCTGGGCCAGGCTGGAGCGGCAGCTGGGAATTCAACCCAAGTCTCTCATGTAGGTGAAGCCAACCACTTGAGCCATCACCGCTGCCTCGCAGGGTCTGCATCAGCAGGAGGACAGAGCCAAGAGCTGGAACCAAGTACAGCAGTCTGATGTGGGGTGGAAGCGTCTTAACTATCAGGCCAAAGACTGCTGTGAAAATGATGATTTTTTTTAATGTTTTCTTTCTTTTTCAGAATTATTTATGTAGTTATGACAGCAGCTGCTTTACCCACTATGCCACAATGCTGGTCCCAAAAATGATGATTTTTAAAAAGATATATTTATTTGAAAAGAGAGAGCTTGATCCTCCCTTTGCTGGTTCACTCTGCAAATGGCCACAAAACCCTATGCTAGTTCAGGCTGAAACCAGAAGCCTAGAACTCCATCCAGGCCTCCCACATGGGCCATCTCCTGCTGCTTTTCCAAGTGCATTAGCAGGGAGCTGGATCAGAAGTGGAGCAGCTGGACTCGAACCACTGCTCCTATATGGATGCCAGTGTTGCAAGCAGTGGTTTGATGCACTGTGCTGCAATGGCAGCCTGCAGATGATGATTTCTAAACACAGAGCTTTGCATCTGATTCCTAGTAGTAGACAGAGATCCCATGAAAGTGTTTGTAGGGCAAATGCTAAAAAATCCTCCTTCTGAAGGCTAACAATTACCACATTGTATGTGGTAAGTACTTACCTTATCTGACAGATTATCCCAACCATAATTAAATGGACTTTCTAGTGTATCCTGAGAGATGGTGATCACCACCAAATTATAACAAGCTCTGGAAGAGTAGAGAAGAATGACTACAGAGCCTACAACGACAGTCTGGCACAGAGACATACCCTAAAAGAAATGAAAATCATCGTCACAGTCTGCACATTTGTCATGAAGTTATTCATCCACACACAATATGGTCACCGCTTGCAAAGTACTCCTGGAAAGCAGAGAAAGCAGGTACTCAAATACACCCTTGATTATCTGGCCTTAAAACTCCCTTCCCAGAAGAGCTTGTGGTTAATAGTCACAAGTTAGTATGTTGCAAACTTGCCAGGCAGTTGGAAGAAGACTGTGTTCTGCAAGGTTACCTTATTTTCTTAAGTAACATGAATAAGTTGGTCAAAGATCTGAATTTTAATTGATGTTAATTAGAAAGGAGGTTTAGTCACAGAGACAAAAGACTAGAAAATAGAAGCAGTAGCCTACAAAATTTTGGATACCAAATCAGAAAAGAAATACAGTTCCTATGCTATTGACTCCATTATATTCTATTAGCCCCCATTTGATGCCATTATGTTGCTGATAAAATAATCTAGGTGCCCCAAAGTACTTTCAAATCCATATTTTAAGTCTTTGGCTTTCACTACTTCCCCAAATAAAGAAATCTTTTATAAATTAATGTGTTCAACTGTAGTGTGTGTACTGGAGAGGGAAGTGTTATCACCTCTGGCAGGATTCTTAACTCGGGGTCTGTGTTTCAGTAATACTTGATTTCCTTTGTGTTTCTATGTATTTTGTATTATGTATTAAAAACATTCTGAGAGGGAAACAATCCTGAGATTCACTTCAAAAGGATGCTAAGTCCGTGTTTTGAAGACTGTGCTGTTTGACACAGTGATCACGGGGGACATTCTGGCATTCAGGGCAGCCCTGATCTGCAGTTCACAGGGGAGTCCCCCACGCTGGACAGCTGTCCTCTGACCTCCACAGCATTCACGTGTCCTCCTGGGTACTCATGAAGATGAAAAACCCGGTTATGATGATCTCAGCCAGAACCCAACTCAGTTTTACATCAGGAGGTTTATGTTTGTGGAGCTTAAATACATTCCAAAATTTCTAGAATCACATTAAGCTGTGTAAATTAAGGCAAATTTGTACTTTATTTTGTTCAGAATTTTATCAAGCAGTTTTCAAATATTGCATAAAATCCAGACAGCGCCAGAGATACCGCTTGTGGTAGGTAAGCGACCAGTGCATCACACCTGGGACTCTGCACTTGTAGCTGCCTCGTTCATGGTTCTATGTCTGGATACAAACACCTGACTAATATACCAAGCCCCCAGTTTTACACAGTTAAAAATTTAGTAATTATTGTTCCTTAATATCCTCTTTAAATTACAATTAGGGCAATTACCTTGAATTTTGTATGAGTACATAGGTTAAAATCTATGAATTTCAAGAAACAAGTAGGTTATTAAAATGTTTATTAGGTATGCTGGGTCTGTCAGCATGCAGAGCCATGATTATGACTGATATGCTTATAAGAACATATATGACTTATATGCTTATAAGAACAATACACTTTCCAGGTACACAAAGAGAAAGAAAAGATCACAGATACTTTAAAAGTGCTGTGACAATAACAGTATCTTCCCTGAACTAAACTACTACTATAACATAAGGTACATGTGAAAATAAATAAAACAATGGCAAGATTAAATTTTAAAAATTATACCTGAAAATTTTTACAATATGTATTTTATATTTGTGAGTCCAAAAAAGTTGATTAAAAATTAATTTGAAAACCAATAGAAATCTAACTTTAAAAGTACTGTATTATTAAAGTAAGGTAACAAGAACTAGAAAGCACTGTTGTATTACAATCCTCTAAAATAACTATGAAAGTTTAAATTCACTATTTTGAGAAATCAAATGACTGTGAGAAAGAAATATGCTATTATACAGACTGTGATTAAATCTGTAAACACTTTTTAAAAAAACTTGTGAGGAAAGAACAAAGGATCAATAATACCAAAGCAATTAAAAAAAACAACCTGTAGGCAAATTACACACATAAAACAATGAAAAAAGCCCACTGATTCAGAAAATGAAATGTTTCATCCTGGAAAATACAAATTATGGAATGAAAATTAAGAATTCAGCAATATGGAAAATGTTATTAAAAAGTTGCATAAAACATCTCCAGAATGAATAAAGCCAGAACACAATTCATTCAGATGCAATCCTTGAGGAATAATTTTCTTTCCCCCATGTCTGACATCTATATATCTCATTTAAAGAAAATCCATTGAAACCTAAAGCAGGTTGCACCTTACTCCTAAGAAGCTCAGTGTCCATATCATGAACAATATGTTTATAGATCCCTTTAGCATGCTGATACGCACAAACCTTAATTTACCATTCACTGAGTTTTGACAAATGTATACACCTGTTAAATCCAAATCTCCACTAAAATAGAACATTATCATCACTCCAGAAAAGCTCTCTTAAACTCTTTTTCCCATAAGCCAAACCCTCATCTGCAAATACCCTCCTGCCTCTGTTTTCACAACTTGGCTATGTCTGTTCTAGAAGCTCATGGAAGTGGAATCAGAACTTGAATGCTTTTGTAGGTTTCATCCATTCAGCATAATGTTTTTAAGATTCATCCACGTTTTTGGATGTATTAGTCCTTTTTATTAATGGGACAATTAGAGTGGTCAAGTCTTTCTGGTTTTCAGTACTTCTAGCCCCACATCTTAGAAAATTCCCCCAGCAAAATGGGACTAATTCCACTGTATATGAGGTTGTTTATTCATATTTCTGATGATGGACAAGTTCTATGAGCATTTGTGAACACATTCTTTTTTCAGGTATATGCTTTCACTTTTTTTTTTTTTTTTTGGACAGGCAGAGTGGACAGTGAGAGAGACAGAGAGAAAGGTCTTCCTTTGCCGTTGGTTCACCCTCCAATGGCCGCCACGGCTGGCGCGCTGCGGCCGGTGCACCGTGCTGATCCGATGGCAGGAGCCAGGAGCCAGGTGCTTTCCCTGGTCTCCCGTGGGGTGCAGGGCCCAAGCACCTGGGCCATCCTCCACTGCACTCCCTGGCCACAGCAGAGAGCTGGCCTGGAAGAGGGTCAACCGGGACAGAATCCGGCGCCCCGACCGGGACTAGAACCTGGTGTGCTGGCGCCGCTAGGCGGAGGATTAGCCTAGTGAGCCGCGGCGCCGGCCTGCTTTCACTCTTCTGGATAACTACCTAACAGTGGAATTGCTGGGTCATATTATGGTACATAGAAGTTCAGCTATATTAAGAAGTTGCCATAAATTAAAAATAAAAGAAATTGCCAGATCCAATTCCATACGATTGTACAATTTTACACTTGCAACACAGTATGAGTTCCACAGTTGCTCTACACAAGTGTCCAATCCTAGGTCTCATTTGGGGTTGTCAATCTTTTTAATTTTAGTGATGCTGGTAGATGTGCAGCAATATATTGGTTTGAATTTGCCTTTTGTTGTTGATTAATGATACTTTGCTAATTTGTAATTCTTTGTGAAGAATCTATTCAAATATTTTTAAAATTGAATTGTAGAAGATCTTTACATTTGGAGATCAATACTTTCTCAGATATAGGGATTACAAGTATTTTTGGCTAAAGATATGAACAGGCCTTTGTATTTCAAAGGATGAAATAGAAATGGCCAAAAGTCACATGAAAAGATCCTCAGGATTGGGGCTGGCGCATGGAGCAGCAGGCAAAGCCGGCGCCTGCAATGATGGCATCCTATATGGGTGCCAGTGATCCGGCCTGTGAACCAGCTCCCTGCTAATGGCTTGGGAAAAGCAGCTGAAGATGGCCCAAGTGCTTGGGCCCCTGCGACCCACGTGGGAGACGTGAAAGAAGCTCCTAGCTCCCGGCTTTGGCCTGGCCCAGCACTGGCCATTGCGCTCATCTGGGGAACGAAACAGCAAATGGAAGTTCTCTTTCTCTCTGTCTCTCCCTCTCTCTGTAACTATTTCAAATAAACAAACAAATTTTAAAAAAAGAAAAAGATGCTCAGGATCACTAGCATCAGGGAAATGCAAATTCAACACAGTCAGAACGGCTATCATCCAAAATCCTAATATAGTGTTGGTGAGAACGTAAACAAGTACAGCCATTATGGAAGAGAGTATGTAGATTCCTCAGCAATCTGACAACAGATCTACCACATGACTCAGCCATTCTCTTCCTGGGAGTTTACTCAAAGGCAATGAACTCAGCCTATGAGAGAGTTATCTGTACCCCCATGTTATAATAGCTCAATTCACAACAGCCAAGATATGGAAACAACCCAGAAGTCCATCAGCTGAGGACTGGATTAAAGAAATTGTGATATATATACACGATGGAACACTACTCAGCCATAAAAAAGAATGAAACCCTGTTTTTCACAACAAAATGGATACAACTGGAGACCGTTATGCTTAGTAAGCCAGTCCCAAAAAGACAAATTTCATGTTTTTTTTTGTGCTAATACGTAGAGTACAAAAAAAAAGTATAAGTGAAATTGACATCTTAAAAACCAATTACTGTTTACAGCCCTTGTCTATACTTCTGAGGAGCAATGGTTTTTCTACTACTACTTGTTGAATTATTTATTTACTGGAGGACTAAGCCTGTGATTAAAGTAAATTGAAAGTATGTCATTGCAAAAATTAAAAGGAAAATATGGAAGAAAAGAGGAGGGAGGGTGGGAGGAAGAGAGGGAAGGTGAAAACTATCATTATGTTCCTAAAAATACATATGGGGCACACAAAATTTGTTCCAGCTATATAAATAACAAATTTAAAAAAAACTTTACCTTCCTGAAGTTAAAAATAGTCATTTATTTTGTTCAAAAGGAATATTTAAGATTTAGAGGTGATTATTTAAGAAATATTACCCACAACTAAGCATATCATCATATAAATATTCATTTAAAACTGTAAGAAAATAGTTAAAAGAGGTTTTGTCAAATTTTCCCTTGAGAATATAATTCCTTTCTGGAGACAAAATTAAAAGGTCATGTAAATATGGATTGATTTTTAAGTTCTCGTTCTGTTCTACTCATCTATTTGTCTACTCTTATGCCAGTAGC